CTTAGCTTATTTAAGTTAGGTTTTAGTATAAATATAACTGGGTATCTTGCCGAGGATTTTAATAGTCTAATATATCCTTTTTATAATATATTATTTAATTATTCTCTAAGTATATTAAGCTTATCTTAAGATAGGTTATAAATAGGGAAGAATTTTAGGTTTTTTTTATCTTTTAATATAATTTTAATATTATAGTCTATGTGTTAAGGTAACTTAGTGTTTAGTTCCTCTTAAAATAGTTTCTTATAGATATAATACTTTAGTGGTATGTTTTTAAGTTATTTATTAGATTTCTTTATAGTAATCTGTTTTATCTGTTTAATATCTTGGTTTAATTGTTTAAATTATCTTTTGAGAGTTATTATTATTTATTTAATATGTTTTATTTTGCCTTTATAGTATTTATGTTATATTCCTTTTGGAATAGGTAATACTCTTTTATGCCTATCTTTACTGCTTTTATTAGTTGAAGTTTAAGATCTTATATTATTATTATTTAAATTGTTTTTATTATCTGAAGGGTGATTTTTATAGTTTACCTGGCTAGTTCTCTAGTTAATTTATATATTATAGTATAGTAACTATAGAAATCTAAGTATTAGGTTATATTTTTATATTAAAATAATATTAAAATTAATACCTTAGTTTTTTCTATTAATAAATACCTTAAGGTAATTAATCTCTTAAGTAATTCTTTTATTATTATAGTTATAGGTATCTCCTTTTTTATTTTTTATAGTATAAGGTTTTTTCTTATTTCTTTATAATAGCCTTAATTTATTAACTATTTTAGGGGAAATAAAATTTATATTAGCTTTACTATTTATAAGTATACTTAGCTATTTATCCTTAATTCTGACTTTTAGTTTTAGGTAGGTTTATTAACTTTCTTTTATAGTTATTCTTAGAGCTTTTTCTAGGAGTTTATTTTTTTTTTGCTTTTTTACCTATCTGCTGCTCTATTATAGATGGCATATGTTTTTTCCCTATAGGTAGTTTATACTATATTTACTTTTGGTATAGTTAATGTTATTAAGATATTTATGTTAGGTAGTAAGTTGTTATTGGTATATAGCTTTTATTTTTCCTACTTTATAGTCTAGGATGATGTTTGCTTTTTCTTCTTTGGTAAGGGGTTTTTCTTTTTCTTATTTAGATTTCTTTAGTTATTTTTATAGTTATTGCTTATCTAGCTATTAGATGATATCTTATTTATCTTAAGATACTTCTTCTTCTTATTATATGATTTTTTAATTAATTTGGTTAAGTTCTTAGTTAAGTGCTTTATTTTTATTAATCTTAACTTCTTACTATATCTTTTATCTTTACTAGGTAATATATTAGGAGTTTTAGATATATGCTAAAGCTTGTTCTTATATTTCTATATAAGCCTTTAGTTTTACTACTTAAGATCCTTTATATCTCTTTATAACTTAGTATTTAATAGTATTAATAATTATATAAGGTTTTTATTCTTAATGTTTATTAATTTATATTAGGAAGTAATTATTTACTATTTTGTCTTATTAGTGTTATAGGCAGTAGTATTATATATATAATATTTATAATATCTACTGATAGTTTGGGTAGTTTAGGTATCTCCTTGGATCCTTTTTGGTCTAGATGTATTCTTTAGGTGTTATAGGGTCTTTTAATGTTTTCTTTATATATACTTAGATATAGATATTATTATCTTATTTTATAATTATATATTTTTTTATAAGTTCTATATACTTCTAGTGCTTATTATTTTAGAAATAGACTCCTTATTTATTATATTAAGGTATAACTTCTATATTCTAGATTATCTAGTTTTCCTTGCATCTAATACATCTAGCATTAACTTCTCTCTAGACTTAATAGGATTTTAGGTAGTTTGGGTTATTAATATATTAGTTTGGTTATTTTAAGGTAACTCTGATAGGGATCTTGTTTACTATTAAGTAGGTTCTTTAGTTATTTTCTATAATACTTAGTTTATTATCTAGGTTAGGGTTAACTTCTTTTTCCTTTTTAATTATAAATATAGATTTTCCTTTAATAGGATATTTTATTTTTGGTTTAGGTACTAATACCTATTTAAGTTTAACTTTTGTATTTTATTTTGCTTTTAGTCTTTATTATTTTTATTATTTACTTTTCTTTCTTCTGAATTTAGGGTCCTCTTATCTTTTTATATTATATGCTTTTTTCTTTGCCTATTTTTTGCTTTTACTTTGCTTATAAATATCTGCTATAAGAGTTATATATCCTAGGATAGGTTATTATTCTAGGTCTAGATATAGGTAGTATCTCTTAAGGGTTTTTTCCTTGCTAAGGAATGGATTTTAAATATTAAGGGATAGATTAAAGTTTCTAATATATCTTATAGGTTTAGTTATATTATAGCCGTCTTTATAGGTTATATTAATAGTTCTGATTACTATTTGGGGTTTTTTATATTTCTTAATTATATTAATTTTCTTATTTTCTAGGACTGGTTTATACTTCTGGTTAGTCTTAATAGGGTTTTTATATTCTGGATCATAGTATTCTTTCTTGCCATAGTTCTAGTAAGTAATTTTGGATTTATCTTTTTTGGTTATTCTAATAGTTATTAGTCTAGTGTTAGTATTATAGGATGTATTGTTTTATTATCTTTGTCCTTGGTTAGTGTTATAATAAGGTTTATTTCCTTGTTATCCTTGATTATTTTGGTTATAATGGATTCTTTATTAGAATTATATATTATTAATTTCTATGGCTTTTCTAATATAGTTAACTAGTATCTTAGGTCTGGCTTCCTTATATAATTCTGCCTAGATTATTTCCTTAAGCCTATTAAAGAATAGTAATATAAGAGGTTCCTAGTTCTAGTTTAGTTTAGTGGCTAGCTAAAGGAATTTAATTCTATATTCTAATGCAGATTTAGTTTATTAGAGTACTTTAATCTTTCTTTCTGCTTAGCTTTTGTTATTAATTAATTTAAATACTTATTATATAGCTTTCTTAAATTTAATATAATTATTATAAATTTAAAAAGTTCTAGGTAGTAGTTTATCTTTTAGCATAGTAGTAATTTCTTCTAGTATAGGTTAAAACTATTGTATAGCATTGCCTTTAAGACGTCCTAATGCATATATAACTTTATTACTATTATTAGTAAATTAGTTTAGAAAGTAGCTTATATAGGCTTAGTATTAGGTAAGAAAAGTAGCTAATCTAGCAGGGTTTTTATTAAATAGTTTAGGTGCATTTAGCTTAAGAATTTCTTCTATTTCTTTTCTACTGGCTGTAGTAATAGTGAGGTTATGTATTTCCTAAATAGCGTTTTAGTGGTTAGTTGCCTGCTAGGCCTGAAGTTCTATGGCTTTAGTAAGGGCCTGTTTAAGGTTATTTATTTTAGTAGTTATATTAGTTATTTGCTGCCGAAGTTAGGTAATATTAAAGTTAGTACTATTCTTAGAGTTATTATCTATGTCTTAATTATTATTAATAGGTATAGGAGCAGTATAGGGTGCAGCATATTACTAGGCAGGGTTAACGTGGGCAGCTATTGTGTTTATATTACTTAGCATTATGTGGTATAGTCTGAATAAGAGCTATTAATATATAATGGTTAGAGTCTAACTATATTAAATTAAGCCGTGCTAGGTTTATTATTAGCAGATTATATAGGGCGTAATACTAAGTAGTTATTAAAGTGTTATGTCTCTTAATAGTAGATTTAATATATATTAGGCTTAATTAATATAAAGAAGTTTTATTAATAGCTAGTAAGCTAAGTTCTATCTAGGTACTAATAAATATATATATATATTAGAAGTGATTTGTTGGCGATTATGGTTAGGGTTATGATTGGAATAAAGGGATTATGGTTTGCTTTATGATCCTTCTTAGGCGATCATAGTCAAGAGCGTGATTATTCTTAGATTATTTACTAATAGGTTAAAAAAAAGTAGGGTATACGTGATGTAACCGCGGGGTTGTAATAAGTATTATATCTCTTAATAGTAAACTTAATATATATTAGGCTTAATTAATATAAAGAAGTTTTATTAATAGCTAATAAGCTAAGATCTATAAAAGTATAAATAAATATATTCTATATACTAATAATAGTTATATAAGAGTAATATAATATAAGGTTATTATTAGTCCTAGAATAATATAGTCCTAGAATGCTGTTAGTCCTTTAATAGTTAGTCTTTCCCTGGTTAGTTAGTTATATAAGGAAAATTATAAGGTATATATAATATAACTGCTAGGGTTATAATATAAAGGGTAAAAAGGATAAGATTATAGAAAAAAGGGATAATAATAGTATAATAAGTATCTTAAGTAATTAATCTAATAGATATTAATATATAGGTAATAGCTAAATTATTAAGAAGTGGTAATTAAGGAAGGTTAATTAAATTAGGTATTAGGTATTATAGTATTTATAATAAGACTAGGTATAATATAAGGACCTATTAAGAGGATATTTAGGCCTTAGGAGAAGAGTATAATAAGTAGTTTTAATTAATTAGATAGGTTATAATAATCTTATTATCTATATAATAAAATTAGTAGGGATTTTTAGGTTACTTGCTTAACTAGGTTACTTGCTTATTAATTATATTAATACTTTTTAAGTATATATTTTAAGAAAAGAAAATAAGATAATTAGTTATTTTTACTTCTTTTTTAAGGATAGTTTAATATATTACTTTTTACCTTAAAATATTATTATCCTTTTATATTTTTATCTAATATATAAATATATTTTATTAAATAAGTTATATTTATATTTATTATATATAAGTTAATATTACTTTAAGTTAATGGTATTAAAAACTAAAGCTTTTTAAGATTGTATAATTAACTTATATAAGATATATTTTTATTATATTAAAAAAGAAATATCTTATATTATTTTACATATAGCTTTGGTATTATATCTCTGTTTATAAGATTGGGTTTTAAAGAAGAAGTATAAAGTTAAATTATCTTTTTATTAAAACTGCCTTTATTTCCCTCTAGGACTCATAGGTATGGAATACCTTGGCAATAATCTTCCACTCTCCGTCAAACTTCATCATGGTGTGAAAATCAGTGTAGTTCTGCTCAGCGGCATCACGCTCCATATCGACCTTGACGACAGCGGTGGTCGGGGTAATGCCGATAACGTCAATGCGGGTCTTGATGTTGGGTGCATCTCCATGCTCGTTGATGAAGTCGTATAGGTTGCTGACAGGGCCGCCAAGCAACTGGCCTGTCATGGTGAAGCCGTACATAGTGGCATCTTGGTGAAATGCTTTCTTGAGGAGCGACGTATCGCCCTTGTGGCAGCCTTCGCAGTAGTATTGCTGAACGACGTCGACGACGGCGTCGTACTCGGCAGTAGGGATAGTTTTGATGTTCTTGGACATGATGGCCGATCTGAGGTGGTAGATATTTTATAAATGTTGGTATTGTTGTTAATGCTGTTTCGTTGTTTGTTGCTGTTGCTGTTTCCTGCAATAGCATATTGTTGACACAGGCTGTTGGAACGGCATTTATAGCCTTAGTCTGCTTGATTGCCTTGTTAATTATTACCTCCAATGCTTACAAAGCGAGTATTTCTTACTTCATAACCCTTATCAACATTAGTTTATTAATGGACTTAGCATCACTTTTCCTGATAAACAATCATGTGTTAAAAACATAATTCCCCCAACCCTGGCCGCCACTGACTTATTCATAATACGCCATGATTTAATAGCAATCGCCTGTATCAGAGCCTGCGAAAACTTTATCTACGCCATTGATGGAGAAGGTTTGAATACTGATAAGACCTCCAAGTGGGCTTGGTGAATCGAACGAATCACGAAGAGTAATGATTTATTGCTCCAACAACATGGGAGTGGTAAAAGGAGGAGGCTCAAGAATGACAGAAATAAGCGCCTTGCAGGGGATGATACGTTCTCTATGGCCGAGATCAATCTGTGTCTACACATCTATAGCTATCTTAGAGCAAAAAGAGGAAAAGATGGAAGAGATAACGTATCGTGGTGATCTTTCACATTGGGTGAAATGTTATTCAGAGGTTAAATATGAGTTGCTGTAGGGAGAAGCACCTGATGCTTTAATCTATAATTGACTGCACTTTTTATTAACTAACCCGGTTAAATTCGGACTACAAGTCGACCAGTAAATGACCGGTCGTGAGCTCTCTGTGGTATATCCTCACCCTCATCTATCCCAATGATAGTGACGTGGCTGATAATTCCATGATGAGCTACGGCATCCACCATATCCTTGACATCATCGACACTGCAGTGCAAAGACCCCTTGACAACAATTTCGCGGAAGACTAGATTAAAAGCGTCAAACTTGAACCCAGTGTCGGGGAGTCCAAGCACGACACAAACACCCTGAGGGTGAAGGCGGTGCAGGATCCAATCGGTCGCGCCAACATCGTCAGTGCATGTTACAGCGGCCGAGAGCCCAATGCCGTCTGCAAACTCGGTGATTCTGTCTGCGGAAGAGTCTTCGGATATGTTGACAACGAGGTCAGGCCTCAAATGCTCTGGAACGTTGTTGGCCAGTCTCAACCCCGCGTCGTGCTTGTCGATAGCTACGACGCGGAGACCGCGTGCCTTGGCCATCTGGATACCCAATACACCGAGTCCGCCAACACCCACAATGCCCAGGGTCTGGCCCTCGGTTGCTCCGGTCTGCTGTATCGCATTCCATATAGTCGCTCCTGCGCACATGAGCGGCGCTGCCTGCTCAAACGAGAGACTATCGGGGAGGTGCACTAGAGCCTCCTGCGACGCCAGCATGTACTCGGCAAAGCCGCCGTCGGCACGCTGGATACCGCTCATGGTCTTGTTTTCGCAGAAACGTGCATCGAGAGATTTGTATGCCTGCTTGCGCCATTTGCAGCCCGCACATGCGCCACATGGCTTGCGAAAGTTCAGAACGCCCACGCGATCACCGACACGCCAGGTACTTGCGTCAACGCCGGGACCAAGAGCTGCAACAGTGCCGGCCGGCTCGTGTGACCCGGTGAAGGGCAGCTGAGTGCCATACGTCCCTTGGTAGACTTGGTAGTCAGTGTGGCAGAATGAAGCTGCGGCAACTCGCACGAGCAGCTCACCCCGCTCAGGCGAGGGCACAGGGATGTCATCTCGGAGCTGGTAATTCTTGTTGAACTATAGATTTAAACAAGAGTTAGTTCTCTAGGACCCCTGTAATAGATCCCTCACATACCTCGACCAGCCTCAGCGCCTTCATCAAGGCTGGTACAGGCTGCTGACTTGTCATTGTTATCTTTATTGACTGTGTCTGTATCGGCAACCAAATTGAAAGAGATTATAGCTGTGATAAAAAGAGGGAGATTGCTCTTAGGATGGAGACATGTGAGAATGCGGTTACCTATTTATCGCTCTTTACTCCCATTTTCTGCCTTTCTTCTTGATTCTTTTTTACTCCACTCGATTTGCATAAAAAAGCTAACAGCCAACGCCACTACTAGCTGTTTTTCTTTCTTACTTCACACTACATTGCTTGTATAAATTGCATATCATTTTCTAATAATAAAGCCAGCGTCCTTCTTGCTCTTAAAGGACTTCAAATAGCTCTCAATTAGTTGGTGGTGGACTTGCTCTACTCATATAGGGTATGACGTATTAGAGAATGTGCAATGGTATCGACGCCACCGCGTCCCTTCAAGACGCAACTATTAGCCAGACAATGCAAGCCAACTGCTCTGTAGTGCTCTGCAGGGTAGGAAAATCATTTAAGATGTTCTTAATCGCGATCTGCAATTGCTTTGTCCCTCCCCTCACGTCCTAGAGGAGGACATGGCTATCAAATCCAAATGGCCAGAACTAGATATATGCTATTCCTGGAGATACCACCGCGATAGAACTACCATAAATATTTAAATTCCATTTAGAGCATGGAAAGAATGGAAATCTTGGAGAACCAGGGCAAACGACGAGAAAAGAAGCGATCTGAGGGCCAAGCAGGCTGGTGTCCACCTCATTTGCTTATCAAGCATGGTGGTAGATAAGCTTTGTTAGTCTAGACGACTCCGCTTTCTGGAATGGAGCGTCCTTAGTTATTCAAGCCCCAATAAATAATCTCCAAGCCCAGGGCCTGGCACCTTCAACTTACTCCATCTCCTTTCCCCACAGACTCTGGCACCATTTGGAGTCAATTTCAGTTCAAAGCACTTGTGCCCGCCTAAACCCAGCCAAAGCTCAATGCGAAGGGGTCGTCCCCGCCTGCTCGTGGCCCCATGCAAATTCTGCCACAAGAAGTTCAAGCGCTCGGAGCATTTGAAGCGCCATGAGAGAATCCGTAAGTGGCAAAGCCCTGGCCGAATTGCCAAACGACGTGACTCACCGGATCGGTCTTGCATCTAGATACCCAAGAGAAACCGTACCTTTGCCGTTGTGGGCAGAGCTTTTCAAGACGGTGAGTCCCAGCCCTTGCTTTACTTGTCACGACCGACTTCTAACAGCTCCTGATATTCACAGAGACCTCCTGACCCGTCACCATCGACAGTCGCACCAGCAGGATCAAGACCATGATGGGCTGGTCCAATGCGAAGAGCGAGACTCGCCTGTCGAGATGACACTGCCAACCCGCGAGTCTCCATCCGTAGACGCGTCCCAGCCGCCTACTCCTCTCCCGGTGCTGCAAGAGGATGACGCTGATGGAGAGAATCGTTTACTCGAGCAGAGTGATGAGATGGAGGATGGGACAGAAGCAGATCCTGAGAGGCGTACTGCAACCCCAGTCGAAACGACAACTGCGCTAGAACTCGAGCCACCCAACGTGCTAGCCACGCCCAACTTCCTCCTTGGAGCAGCAGAAGGCCTGCAAGCATTCGAGTTCCTATGGAACGACTTTCCCGCCGACGATCAGCTTCTCCCAACTGCCTTCCTCAATACCGATCTCTCTCTCGTCGACATGTCGCAACAGTACCCTCACTTGCCCTCTCCGCCACCGCCACCGCATCCTCCCGCCTTTGCCCAACCAATCCCCGGGGCAGATGTCTCGACCAACCTGAATCTCAACATACCAGTCAGCATAAATGTCTCACGGGATACATCACAGACCCAAAATGTGATGTCGAGGCTGCCGTCTCTCGAACCATCGTCCTCCTCAACACTAAACGCGTTGGAGACAGCTGCGAACTACCAGGCATTTTTGGCTCCAGGACAAGCATCATCTGCCTGCCCCTGGCGAATATTGCCAGAGGAATACCAGAGTCTTGCGCAGAGAGTAGCATCATTGACAAGCACCGTCCCTCACCCTTTTACCTTTCCGTCAAGGCACACTCTGTCTCGATATCTAGAGGGCTACTTCCGTGGCTTTCACGCTCACATGCCAATGCTTCACGCTGCAACTTTGACGTTTCGAGGGTTGGGCCCCGAACTCACACTAGCCCTCGCTGCCGTCGGAGCACTGTATCGCTTTGAGCATGCAAAGGGCATTGAGCTGTATCGTGTTTCCAAGGTGCTCATCAATCGACGGCTGGACCAGTTCTATGAAGGAAATGTCTCGCGTCTGACTGGAACTTCTCCCGGATTCGCAGGGTTCACACCCGTCCACACAAGCTCGCAGCATGATCAGGCATCCCCTATCCTGTTGCAGGGGCAATCTGGTCTCCGCCTACTGCAGGGACTGCTTGTACTCATGGCCATGACGTCCTGGGGTGAGAAAGCGTTGGTTCGAGATGGCTTGTCCATGGCCAGTCAGGTTGCAACCCTGGTTCGAGAGTTTGGCATCAGTGAACCTGAGGATACTGCCATGCGTGACATGACCTGGGAGGATTGGACTCTTGCTGAAGAGAAACGCCGCACTCTCTTTGTCGCCTACGTGCTCTTCAGCCTCCAGTGTGCCGCTTTCAACGTTCCGCCAATGCTTTTGAATCAAGAGGTCAGCCTCAATCTTCCTGCCTGCGATTCTGAATGGAAAGCACAGACTGCACTCGAGTGGTCCAATCTCCGAAACAGCAACGCGTACCAGCCGAGGTCGTTCCAGCAGACTGTCGAGAAGCTACTCTCCGGGACACCTGTACACTATGAGGGCTGTATCTCAGCGTTTGGGAACTATATACTCATCCATGGCATATTTATACAGATATTCCACGCTCGTAATGCCCTGGGTCCAGCTCCTGACCCGTCGAGTTCGCTTAGTGAAGGCTTCATAAAGAAGATGGAGGCGGCTCTCCGCGCGTGGCAAGAATCTTGGGAGTCAACGCACGAGTCAACCCTGGACCCGTCGTCTCCAAAGGGACCCATGGGATTCAACTCAACTGCCCTACTACGCCTCGCCTATATTCGACTGAATGCAAACACCGGGCCCTATCGGCAACTCTTCACACGAGATCCCACCGTGATTGCACGCGCGTTTACTGATGGGAAGATTAGAGTCTGTGATAGATCTCCACATCTTGACAGGGCCATTCTGCAGTCCATCCACGCCTTGAGCATCCCAGTCCGCGTCGGCATTGCCTTTGTCGCTCGCACTCTCACACTCAATTGGAGTTTTCAACATGCTCTCTCCAACCTCGAGTGTGCTTTCTTGATGACGTACTGGCTAAGATCGCTTGCCATCTGTGTCGAGACGTCAGGATGGAGCGTCCTACGACCAGATGAGCAGAAACTGCTTGACATGGTCGTGGCGCTCGTTAGGGAAACGGAATTTGCAGACCTGCTGGATACTGTGAGCGACCATGCGAGTCAATTGCGCATACTGGCACCGTGCGTTGCTCGGCTTTGGGCGGAGACGTTCAAGGGTTTCCAGGTCTTCGAAATTGTATACATCGTTGGACAGAGCCTTTCCGTAGTAGCAGACACTCTACAGCGGGAATTTGGGTAGTGCACATATTTAATTTGAGAATATGACGACCAGAATATAGCAGAACCAAGGCTTTTAAATCCACGAGGAGCGTAGGCAGGCTCGTGTCTTGTGGAGTGATTATTGAACCTGTCCCCATTAAAGTGACATGTCGTCATTGCTGCATTTCTTCGCAAGTGGCCGTCTGCATGATGATAACCTGAGAATAGAGTATAGAATGCTGCAATCATATAATTCACCCTAGATGAATCTTTTTTACCAAGGCGATTAAATTTTTGACCCAAGATAAAGTTTCGGAATTCCTGCTCCAGGTATCTCGGGGTAACAATCCCTGGTACAGTAACATAAGTCATCACAATTACTCAAGGTCTCCTTGGAGTAAAATACCATTCATTGATCAAAGTAATCACTCAGCACTGGATTCGAACGCGAATTTCTAGATCACTTCACCGAGTATCTCGAAGCAGATAACAGCAAAGGCATATTTTTCTCCATTGCTTCAGGACTTTCTGTCATAGTACCCAGTTTACGATGTCTTTTGTTTCTGTCCATGCCCTGTCAGCTGGATACCTGACACTTCCGGAGCGGTTCTTCGTTACACCTCTGGAGGACACTTCAGCCCGGAAGACAGTCCCATCTCTATCCTTCCTGATCCAACACAAAGACAAAGACTCGGGTAGGACCACGAGGATCGTCTTTGATCTTGGAATTCGACGTAAACTCGAAGACTATACCCCACCAATATACAAGCACGCCCAGACCCGAGAGCCTCTCTCTGGCAACCCGGATACTGTTACGTCGCTGGCGAACGGCGGTCTATGCCCCGATGACATTGACGTAGTTATGTTCAGTCACCTCCACTGGGATCACGTGGGAACACCGTCCGACTACCCGAACTCTACATACGTTGTAGGACCAGGAGCAGCGAAACTTGTCAACGAAAAGCGGGAGTCTACCGCTGGGAGTCACAACCACTTCGAAGAAGGGATGCTAGATATGAAAAGGACGATAGAACTACCCCCAATAAGTCCCCTTACGCCTCCCCCGCTTGAAGAGCAGACAATCTTGTCATCCCAAGCACAACACCTGGCTGGATACTTCTACCAGCCCTGGCACCGCAAAGGACATTTCGAAGCTGTTCTGGATATATTTGGCGATGGAAGTTTGCACGTTGTATCGGCGCCAGGACACATCGACGGGCATATAAACCTCCTTTGTCGTCTGGAAAACAATAAGCATGTTTACCTAGCTGGAGACTCGTGCCATGATGCAAGATTGTTGACAGGAGAGAAGAATATTGCCACGTGGACTGATGAGGCATACCCAGGTATCACCTGTTGCATTCACCAGGACAAGGCTCGAGCAGAGAAGACGCTGAGTATAATCCGAAATGTGATCAGAGATCCCGGAGAATTGAACGAAGTCGAGGTTGTGTTTGCGCACGACGGAGTTTGGGAGAAGCGAGCTCGGGCAGAGGGACGGTTTTTCCCGGGTGCTTTGTGATACTGCAATTCATAAGACATTAATGGAACAGTAGATAGCGTATACTAGATTACAATACACAATGGTATTCTACGCTTTGTAACGAGCTATACAATCAGCTTAATGTCAACCACATAAAAATAGGACCAGAGTTAGAGCTATGATGTTAAAAGGCGGCATGGTATTTCACTGTCAAGATATGCTTAATACTTCTGACCTTGTCATCTATAAGCAGACAGTATCCGTAAAAATCTTTACACAGATGCAAATAAGATAGGAGATCATCCAAGAACAAGTTTAGAAAAGAGGTGTAATATTATTTTAACTGTGGTGTTTGTTGACACACTATTAACATGGTTAGAAGGAAAAGAAATACATCTGTCTGCAGCATGCTACCATGGAGATTTCGATTGAATGTTATACCTACAACCAAGTCACGATGTAAACCTAGCCCCTTGAATGCCTGTACAAAGCGAAGAGATATTTATTGCCTAATTAGCTCTTTCAAGAGTCATATCGATAACTAACTTTCCACCGTCTGCATGATGCTCAGGTCCTCTTAGCTCATTTAATCGGTCAAAGGCAAACGTCTTGGTATGTACCCGTATTCCGTTCTGGTCAACAAAGTACAGCATCTCTCGGAGTTGGTGGTTTCTTCCGACTAGACTTCCAACTACGGCAATGTCCCGGAAGACGAGGTCGTGTGCGCTGACCTGGAGCTTCTCGCTTGGGAAGCTCACGACGACCATGGTCCCGTGGTTCTTCAGAAGCTTCATGCCTGTGTCAAATGCCTTTTGCGACTCGGGGAGAAGGATGACTGCGTCGAGCCCAACTTCAGTAGGTGGCGCGTCGCTGGCAGGCCGAAGCATCTCTTTCAGGACCTCCGAGTCTTCTTTGCGGGCATCTGAGATGAAGACACTCTTTCCGACCTCTCCAAGGCTTTTCTTTACTTTCTGGATGAGGTCAAGTGCCTGATCTGTGGCATCGATGGCCAGAACCTCCTTGCCGAGGTGAGCTGCAAACTGTACACCAATATGACCCAGTCCACCCCCAGCGCCAATGATCCCAACTCGCTGAGCGTTCTGCACTCTCTCATGCTGAAGCGCGCTCCAGATGGTGAGGCCAGCACACATTAATGGTGCTGCTTGGGTTGGTGGCAAACTCCCGGGCAGGACTGCGACTTGTCGGCTGTCTACAAGGCAATATTCTTGGAAACCACCATCTCTGGTCAATCCCAAGTTTCCAGCACTGGGGCAGTAGGGAGAGTATCCCATATCATCCTGGCCCGGGTGCGTACACTCAAAGCAGGTACCGCATGGATGGTACGCCCTGCCTGGAACTCCAACCTTGATGCCTATTGCAATTCCGCGATGAGTTGAGACACTTGGCCCGAGCGCTATCACTTCTCCCGCGAACTCATGGCATCCGATACGAGGGAGGTTCTGCGACAGGAGGCCAGCGGCGAAGACGGCATCTGTGTGACAGTATGAAGCAGCGAGGACCTTGATGAGAATATCATGTCCTTCGGGGTCCTTCGGGAATGGGATCTGCTTGAACGCGTATGGCTTGCCAAACTGCTCAACTACGGCGGCGGTCTGTGTTTGAGGCGTGCGCATCTTAGCGTCTGGTGAAGTAATGGCTTGGCTAAAATTGATAGGTGGTTGCGGGGAAAGGTTTGGTTGGGTGCTCTTTTGTCTAAGGCTGATTCGAGCTCGGTTTTGCAGGACGCTTGAGGCTGCCTCAGAGTTGGGGTAATAAAAATGCAAAAGTGTGGAGCAAGGTTGGAGTCAATAGTTAGCGTAAGGCACTGCTCAACGCAGGCCATGAAGCAAGAGTGATTAAATTGCTATCTAATAATATTACGCCGATACAAACAATTGACCTTTTTACTTGGATCTACTCGAGATGAGTCCAACGACCGAGCTCAGTGCTCTAGACTACGCTGAACACAACGGGTTGGGCTCGGACCAAGATTTGGAAGATATCGTTGAGACACGGAGCAGCCTGTGAGACTAAGAACTATAACGTAAATCTTTTAAAGCTATCTGGATTTCAAATACTAGACTAATATGAGAGTTATAGCAGGTAAAGAGAATAGTAGCAATTAACTCTTACAGACCTAGGCTGTTATAGAAAAGGATTTGGGATTTATTAACAACGAGAACATAGAGAAGGGAAGTAATGTACTTACACGGCCAATCAAACAATACGCGACTACAAGAATTAACCGATACCCTAACAGTCACCCCATTTTGGTCCATGAGATGAGATACATGGGGAAAGCCTTAGGTGTAGATGTTCGATGTTTGAGGAACAATCGTTACTAAAGCAGCTTTGGCTTGTTACGCCGCAAACATGATAATTTCATTTTTGCACCAATTGGTATTGTTTCCTGAATTCCTATAAGGCACAGTTCTCTTGATAAGATCACTTCCAGTATATTTATGGCATCGCCCTTTCTTAACTAGACTTCTCAAGATATGGGGACAGTTCCGCCAACTCTCTTTTATGCTCTCCCTTCTCAATCATGTCGTTAATAGTCTTTTGTGCAACCTTGAAGGCCTCGACGCCCGCCGGGACACCGCAGTAGATAGTTGCGTGGAGGATAGACTCGCGGATCTCGATCTCGGTGAGTCCATTGTTCAGGGCACCTCTCACATGGACGCCAAACTCGGGCCAGCTCTTAAGCGCAATCAACATGCCGAGATCTAGGATTGTCAGAACTAAAGGGCACTCAATCATTCAAGCGGGGTCTGTACTCAAAAGACTGCGCTGCTTACGCTCCAGGCCGGGCCGAGACCAAACATTACCCCAACACCACCTTTGGCCCATGTTAGCAGGATAACGGACAAGCCCCGGGGACAAGATCTAACTCACTCGGTAACAAGCTGTTGGCCCGGATAGGCAAACTCGCTTTTGCCATTGTTGAGAGCGGCGTCAACGTAGGTGTTTCCAACAACCTCCCGTCGATTCTGGAGGCCAAGCTGGAACATCTCCGTGTGGAGGTTATCAAACTTCTTCTCGGTAGACATACTGTATTTATCTGCAATTTAACGACTTGATTTGATGTGTCACTCTGTATGAGGGTGTTTGTAGCTTGTTGATAAGAGCTCTCTCGGTGTTACCTTTATGTTCTTCCATGGAAGCTGCCCTCTTCTTTTCTGCTCCAACATCTCGGAATAAACCCCCCCCGGCTATCCCCGTACGAAGATAGAATGTTGGGGTAAATTTTATTCGTATTGATCAACAATCTAGAACGTGCTGTAGCAATGGCATACCTCCAAACGTCGTGTGATTGATTGAAATCTCCTGATGAGTGGCTTCATTAAGCCAGTAATTGCAATATTTTCTGGTTCATCTATCCATAATAAATTACTATGCTGCGCTGAATTACAGCTAGAGTTGAAAGGCCCTTCTTGACATCTAGGCGTCTCCCGTTCGGTATGGCTTACGTTTGAGGAACAGCCACCGTATGCCAACGAAAGTATACAGGTCCAAATAGCCTTATTTAATGCGCATCTGAGATAGATCACGGTCAGGCACATGAGGGCAGAAATAACTTCCTTAATAAGATTATTGGTTGAATGTCTAACTCTCTGTACTCCAGTTTGTTAATCTCAATGCGGCAGCTCATTACCGTCGTCCTCCGTAAACAGGCGGTAGATACTCCTGAAATCCTTTCCACGGCACTTGTCACTCTGAACAGCGCAGCCATACAAGTCTCGGACAACAGATGCCAGTACACTCTTAGCTCCGAGCTGTTCGCCTAGTTCCATTCCCATCTGGAGGACGCCATGGCAGAGCTCAGTTGAGAACCCCCCCTCAAAGTCTTTAGCCGAAGAAGCTACAGGCGAAACGCCCTTGACTGGGTTCTGCTCTCGACTATTGCGCGACATGCCTGTGGAGCTGTTGATAGCGCTGGCAAGTACTACAGGGTCCAGACCATAAAGCCGACCCATGTTCATGCCTTCACAAACCCCCATCATGTTGACGGCTGAGAGGTAATTGTTGATGAGCTTGGTTACTAATCCCGCACCAGCCTTGCCACAATGGAAGAGATTTTCCGACTTGCCCATGAGCTCAAGGGTGGGTTTGACTGCCTCAAACGTTTCGGGCCTGCCTCCCACCATGAAGGTCAAGGTACCTGCATTGGCACCTCCTTGACCTCCCGAGACAGGAGCATCTACAAAGGATCCTAAGCCAGAGGCCTCCACGGCTGCGGCAACTTCTTGTGAAGTCTTGACATCGATGGTTGAGCAGTCAATGAAGATCTTGGTGGCTTGCTTTGCCGAGCCAGCCACGGAGATTGACAGGAGGCCATTCTGTGGGCTGGTGAAGACCTCGTGAACATGCGTGCCACGAGGCAGCATGGTGATGATTATATCCTAATCGAGTTTAGAATTGTGTGAGTGGTGAAAAACAAAGGCCATCTACTCACACTTCTCTCCGCTATCTCACGTGGACTGTCTGCGACTTGAATCTTGCCCGTCGTTGAAGTCACAAACTCGTCGCGTCGAGTCGTATTCACTTCGCAGACATGCAGCACTGAGTCGACTGGGATCTTGGCCCTCAGATTCTTTGCCATGCCCCATCCCATAATACCGAGCCCAATGAAGCCGAAACTTTTAGCCGAATGGCCGCCGTTAGTTGAAGAGTTTGCCGTCGCCATTTCAAATGGAATATCTTGTGAATAATCTTTGTGCCTGGCGATGACTCTGTGTGTTGTAGAGTGTTGGTGTTTTATACAAAGTTATTATGCCTGGACACACAGGCTTGAATGAGGAGTATCTTTGTTGGTTGGCAACTGTTGTGGAGATGTCTAATCATTGGGACCAGGGTGTTGGGGTAAAAACTCCAGCTCGGCGGGCTGCACAAAGTGGTCTAGGTTAAGTAAATCTTGACAGTGGCATTACAAGCGCGTGGTCCAAATTCATACCTATTACACCAAGTGCTCGAGAAGCTTGTATTAACATGCCTAGAGGATCTGAGAAGATAAATTGAATATACACTCTGTTCGAATTGATTGTGCTTGTTCTCTACCCGCATCACATAATTAACGTCAATCATTGCACACTCATGTCATCACCATTCCGCCTCCCACTGGGATGTAGACACCGTTGATCCAACCTGCCTGCTCCTCACACAGCATAGCCACCGCAGCAGCAACCTCCTCAGGCGCCCCAAGGCGGCTTGCAACCGGATTCTTTTCTGTCTGCTTTAGAACCAAGTCAAGGAACTCCTTGGGTGCCGACAACAGGTTGTCTGTGGCAATGGGACCGGGCGCAACCGTGTTAACCGTGCATCCGTACTTCCGCGGCAGTTCCTTGGCCCAGCATCGTGTAAAGGTCTCTATCATTCCCTTGGTGCCGGTGTAAATGGTCATGAACGGTTCTGGGGATCGGGTTGACTCGCTAGAGATGTTGATTATGCGCGAGTGCTGGCGGGACAGAACAGGAAGTGCTGCTCTTGTAAGAAGAAGAGTCCCGCGTCCGTTGAGAGTGACTATGCGTTCCCAGTCTTTCAACACCTGTTCTGTGCTCGGCTCATCAACTCGGGTTGGGTAGGATATGCCCGCGTTATTGACAAGGATGTCGAGTCTGCCGAACTCCTTGATTGTGGCCCCGATGAGCGAACTGGGCCCGTCAACAGTGGAGAGATCAGCTTCAATGATCCTGGCGACGGTACTATCGCTCAACGATGAGAGAACATGCTCGGCCGCTTTCTTCTCTTCTGGCCAAGGGTAATTGATAATGACTGCAGCCCCCCGATAAGCCAACTCTCGTGCAATAGCAGCTCCGATGCCTGAAGACGCGCCGCTCACCACCGCAACCTTGCCTGAAAGTGTCTGCGACGAATTCTTGACCATAGTGAATGGAGCTTCGATAAGAGACTGGAGGTTCTCGGCTGAGACAGCGTGAATGATTCTTGAGTTTCTATTAAAGAGTGTAGAGTGCAGTCAGTACATGACAAATTTCAAGCCCGATGGTCACTTTCCCGAAATATATGCCGTTTCGGGGCCACTGGTGGGTGTAGAGTCGGCATGCCGACTCGGTAGCGGCTTTAGCACGGAACAAACATGGTGGGGCCCTCGGGACAGTATCGCAATATGGTGAGCTTCGGAATGAGCTACGGTGTACACTTGGACCGGTCTGACCTAGACATTTGCCTGGACGGCGGATCTGCAAGATGAATCGAGAGTATTCTGCCTCGGGGATCAACCAGATCATACTATTTCGATACTGGCAAAACGACTATTAAGTTAGGTCCTTTTTAACGCCAGTTGGAACAAACATATATCTTTCATTTAGCTGCTCGCTTTCAAAGGCTTGCTCACATGCTGATTGTATTCATCTTTTGACGCTAGCATCGCTCATCGAGTGGCATTGTCCAATGGCACTTCTCACTGATTTCCAGGCCTGGGCTGGCCAGGGTTTCCCCGGGTTTGGCCAAACTCATCACTGGATCGGCCTCGGCTTGATAACTTGTATTGTTTGGCTTGTGTCCGTCCATCTCTATCAAAATATAAAAGATGCCAAATACAACTATCCCGATCCAGTTCCTGGAATACCATTCTTTGGAAACAGCTTTCAGATGCCTTCAGAGGGACAGGGTCCATATATGACCAAGCTCGCCAGTAAATCTGGGGACATGTAGGTTTTCTTTTCTTTAAAATGCTATTTGCAACTTCCCCAGACCGGTAGCTAACATCAAGATTTCGAGGCTTACGATGAGATTTGGGGGGACACCCTGGATTTTCCTCAACTCTCGCCGCGCAGTTACCGCCTTACTTGACAAGAAGGCAGCAATCTATTCTTCGCGCCAAAATCTGCCCATGGCCGCTGATATTATTTCAGCCGGCAAGCGTCTTCTGCTCATGCCGTACGGGCCAGATTGGCGGAAGCAGAGGAAGGCTATGCACCAGATCCTCAATAACACCAAGTCCAACATCTTTCAGCCGTTCCAAGACGTAGAGTCCCGCGCTCTTCTGTATCACTACATGAAGAAGCCTGATCGCTGGTGGGAGGCGAATGCCCGCTTCGCAAACTCGATCATCATGAGCGTCACATATGGAAAGCGCTCAGACTTGGGCGATCCAGACTTGACCCAACTGCTCAACAATGCGGAACAATTCGTCCCATACCTAATGCCCGGACGGGCCTTGGTGGATATATTCCCTTGGCTATTGAAGCTGCCAATTCCCTCGTCATGGCAACCCTGGCGTTGGTGGGGAGATGCTCTTCATCAGTCAACCAAAAGGTATGTGATCCCATGAAGCTGGAAAGTGCAGAACACTCACTGAGTGGCCACCGCAGAGCATATAAGAAGCTCCTGGATGATCTCTTGGAGAGGCGGAGACTTGGAACTCAGAAGCCATGCTTCATGACCGAGTTCCTCGACAATAACAGCAATGGCGAATTCACCACGGAAGAATGCTACTTTATGGCCGGGACCCTTATCGAAGCCGGATCTGATACGACCAGAATTATCCTGATGGAGATTCTTGCTGCGGCAGTCCTTTATCCCGACTGGGTTGAACGAACTCAGCAGCAACTCGACTCTGTGTGTGGTAGCAAAGCTGAACGCCTGCCAGTCTTTGACGACATGCCGCAGTTGCCGTTGATCAAAGGGATAATAAAGGAAGGCCTGAGATGGAAGTAAGCCTGTCTCATCACCCCAGATGCCAATCGTACAGCCACTGACAAGACTGCTACAACTTCAGGCCGGCCATTGCTGAGACGGGCATTCCTCATGCACTGATCAAGGACGACACATTCGATGGTTACAAGATTGCTGCAGGAACGGTTGTAACATACAGCCACTGGGCAATATCTCATCTAGACTACGATGACCCTGACCGATTCTACCCCGAAAGGTTCCTCGACGAGGATCTGGATGTGCCGACGAAAGGGCACTTGGGCTTTGGCGCCGGCAAGCTTCACTCCTTTCCGTGCCTTCTACTGCGACTCTGGATTCTAATAATGCAATAGGCCGGAGAGTGTGCGTCGGAAACACCGTGGCTTGGAATAACATGTTCATTGCAGTGAGCAGGCTGCTCTACTGCTTCGACGTGTCAGGTGTTCCTGGCGAGACGATCGATACATCTGTCAGGTTTGACAGTGAATTTGGAAAGGCTCCTTTCGAGGTCACCATCAAGCCTAGATCAGAAGCGCATCGTCAGCTTATAGAACGGGAGTGCGCCAACGCGGCTACGATGGAAAGCTAAGGAAGGGCTTCTTTCTAGTAGTGATGGGGGTTGTTGAATGGAAGTTCTTATTATTAGTTGTTGTATTGCAAGTTTGAACCAATATATGAGGAATACCTCTTTTCAAGTCATTCTAAGCAGCGAAAGTTAAAGATCATAGAAATAGATGAGTACACAGCTAACTTGGCAAGTATTTGCATAACCATTTCCTGCTTTGTACTGTATCAAATACTCCCTTGCTACACGTTCCAGCCCTGGAAGAGGTATTACAAATACTCCATTATTATCAGAAATCCTTGTATGCCAGCTAGAGCTTTGTTCTTTACGGACGCAGAGCTGCTTTCGGGTCCCTTCTATCCGTCATCTTACAGGCAAGAGTTGAATCGAGAACTGCAGTATGTACCGTAGAGACCATCCAACGTTAAGGATGTGATTAGAAGCGTAGAAAGAACGAACCAGATCCGTTGACGTTGCGAAGTCTTTCCCTTGCCCACATCTTCAGGTTACCGGAAGTCTGTCACGATTGCGACTACTCTCACATTAGCAAGTATGGGGCACGAAGTCTGGGGATGCACTGGATGTAATAGATCATGGTCTTCAGGTTGCAACACTCTGTAGATGTCCTATATTGTCTAACTAAAATACAATGTCTGGCTCGCTGACGACCGCTGTGAGTACTTGCTTGCCATGCTCGGTGATCCTGCCCATGTTCTCAGCCAAGAAAGCGCTCGCAGAAGTCGTATCTGGGAAATCAAATGCCTCGACGGCCTTGAATTCGTGCCAGCTCCCAACTTCAAATTGACTGTCACGGAACAAGGTCTTAGAGTTCTTTGGTGTTATATCCTGCCACAAAACATACCCCAAAGCCCTAAAATCTGATTCCACTTGTGCTGTAAGCTTGACATCCCGGTCTTGCAACCAGTCTTGGGAGTATTCGTCGGTGGCCGAGCGCCTCTCGTGGAAGAGCAGAGCCCTGACAGGCGGCTTGCTAGAAGTGTGGCCTTCCTTCCGATACTCCGAAATCTTTCTCGCGAGGCAGCCTTGCTGGTCCAGACGACAGAACTTGTGTGCTCCGGCAGTCGCACGATAGCCAGGATCCTGAAGCCCGGCATGAACGAGAAACAGATTGGGGAACACGAGACTAGTCACATGACCCCAGCCGCGTCGCTTGGTGCCGGGGACATGCTGGTCAAGGTTTGCATACTGCGTGTACTGGCGCGTAGGTGCTCCATGTTCTTTGCCTTGACGAGTCATGTTGGCGTGCACGACCTTGTACTCGTGCGTGAACCTTTCGTCAGTCCAATCATCCATCTTAGTGACTGATATGAACCAAGTTATCTCTTCGTAGGTTGAAAAGGAGGTCTCGGAAGTACTTGACAGTGCAAAGTCTGGCAAACCGACTTGGAGTATGGTGGCAATATCCTTGGATGTGTTCAGTTTGGAAAAAAACTCGTCTCTCTGCTGTACATGCTTCGGATCCTGTGACCTGAGCCTGTTCAAATTACCTGTGGAAATTGGGTTGGTCCTGTGTAAGAAGATGCTGCGCCTGGTTTCAGCGTACTGGTCGAGAACGATTGAATCTGCGTTTTCCACTAATATCTGTTTTAAACTCTGGGCCAGGTGTGCGGCGTCGAGGAGACCAGTGGTCAAACCAAGACCTCCGACAGGGCTGTTCAGCTATCACCTATCAGCTATGATTTCTCTTGTTTTGGCCCAAGAACTTACATGCGCGGCATCTCCTACCAGAAGAACATTGGCTTTTCGGAAGGTTGTTGCGCAACGCTGATGTACCTTGTAGGGGGCCATAGCTTCCCATTCAATCTGACTAGTGTCCCCAGGTAGAAGAGACATCAGTCGGTCTTTCACTACTTTCACAGTAGCTTCATCGAGTTCTGCACCGCCAACGTCAGGTGCTGGAACTCCTGTGGCAAACCTCCAACTGTTCCCCTTTCCCCGTTTGACTATAATACCCCAAGACACGGGGTCGACGATGAAGTTTGCCTTTTTCCAACCCAGTTCAGTTAACGAGTACTGGAAGTTGACAGCAACAAGTTGCAATGACTCCCAAGTAAAACCCTTGAGCTCAACCCCAAGAGCCTTTCTGACCGCGCTGCGACCGCCGTCTGCTCCAATCAGATATTGAGATTGACAAGAAACTTCGGTATCAGTGGAGGAACTTTTGATCCAGAAAACAACAGAGCCATCCCGCTGCTCATGGCGCTGGTAGGTGTGGCCGAATAAGACTTCAGCTTTGCCCGTTTCCAGGAGTCTTTTGTGAAGAACTTCACAAAACTCTGGCTGAGAGAGGCAAACTGCAAAATGGGGACTGTTTGGCGGCGGATCAACGGCGGCAAGAATCCTTCCTGATTGTGTTCTCCAAGCGCACCCATCAGTATTCTTCTCTCCTTCATCAATGACATCTTGCAGAATCCCAGCCTTTTTAAACTCGTCTAGTACCGCGGGAAAGTATCTAGGAGCCCCGTTAGCCAGAGTTCCATATTGCCTAGCTGAAATTGCCGTGATAGCCATGGACTCACGCTACGGCTCGAGGAGATTGATTAAGCCTGTCCCCTGTCTCGATGACAGTGACTTTTACCCCGGCCTGCGCCAGGAGCAAAGCAGTGAACAGGCCAACAGGGCCAGCACCGATGATGGCGACAGTGGTATTGATTTTAATCTATAAAACCAAGGTTAGTGGATCCACTGACGTCCCACTCGTCAAGCCTGCTTCGGATTTGACCTACCGCCATCTTGAAAGTCGTGGACACGTGCTTCAAGGCAAAAGAAAGGATAAAGGAATACAGAGGTTAGGGACGGCTGAGTATGAGATAAGCTGGAGATGGCTTGCGACTCAGGTTTAGGCGGCTTATGGAGGCTTAATTGCAGCCATGAGTGAGGGAATATCAAGCTTAAATGCTGAATATTATCTCCTAGACTCGAAGGGCGTTTGGCTTTGTAGAGACACACGACTTTCCATGCTCGGGAATAATATCAAATAGTCAAAGTTGAGTGATGGAAATACAAAGGTAAGTTCGGCATGCCGACCAGTGACGCTAGTAGTCCCGAGATTCAGACTACCGCAACGGCCCAGAAGTGGGATGAACGACACTCGATTACGGCCATACTGAAGCTTTTCCTATGCCAGCTCACCGGCTGGCGTGGACCACTTACTATATGTTTCTGGATGAATTGCCATACCAGTCAGAGCTTAGTTACTTGATCAGGTGTGAAAGCCTTATTTCAAATGAACATAGTCCGGTAGTGACCGTCGCGCTGTAGAGACTACCATGAACTGAATCATAACAGCTTCTTGGAACAGTGATGAGTATTTATAACAAGTGATCTGGGATTTTGTTACAAGACAGAGAGTGATATGATTATTCTTGAGGTTGTAAGTCTTCTCCATCCTTAAGTCATTTGGTCTGTTTCAACTCACGACGTCAACACGATTCAAGGTGGCATATAAATATATATCAAGTGCGCAAAATATAGTCTCACAATTTACTTGTAGTTAATCTAACATGCCTTTCATCTAGCCGCAGCTTTATGTCCTATCTCCAATAGCCAAAGTATGGCCTTCACACTATCATTTGTCCTTTTCTCAATGTGTTGATCCAATGTTGGGAAGAACTCCCAAAAGTGATGCGGCAGTCCAGGATATATGTCAAGTCTTGTAGGGACTCCATTTTCTTCCGCCAGCACTCGCTCGTAGATCAACCCTTCATCGCGTAAGCTGTCCATCCCGCAGACTTGAATGTAAGTGGGCGGGACGCCTGCGTGGCCTCGCGGGTGGTTGAAGGGAACAAAGAGCGGCGAGTTGATGTCGGGCTTGTATGCCTCTGGAAATTGGTAAAAGTTTAAAAGTCAGCTTTGCATACATAGTATGGTCTCGAGATAGATAGCAAATACACCTACTCATAAAGGCTTGCACAAGCTCGGGTGGTGGGATTGTGACGGAAAGATTCTGTTGAAAGCTCACGTAGTCCTCTTTATACTTATCAGGAACGACTGGAAATGGTAGAAGAGGTGGTACGCTGAGAAACTGTCCGGTGATTTGTACCGGATCATCTTGATCACGATTGAGATAGACAACTGCGTTGGCGATGTTCGCACCAGCCGAGGTGCCGCCAAGGATCAGACCTCGAGACACTGAGGCTGATGGATGCACTGCAGCGGGGTTTTTCGCAATCTACTGACGGTGAGCCTCCAGGTCAAGTCAAGAAGTGCAGCCGCTATCGCCATCACCTACCCACTGCAATGTCTCTAGTGCATCATAGACGGCTTGCGGGAACGGATGTTCAGGCGCAAGACTGTATTCAAGACTGACGACGACGATATTGGCTTCGAGTGCAATACGTCTGTTTGACTCCATATCATCAAACCGGTTACCGATACAGAAGCCGCCCCCGTGGAGAAAGAGATATATGGGAAGAGATCCGGCAGGGGACTCGCGAGAAGGTGCATAAACGTACGCATCTAGTTCCCGCCCCTCGACGGGAATTTTGATGTCTTGTTCTATTAATCCTGGGCCTGCGGCACCAAGAGCCTTGCGAGCTTTGAGCTTTTCATTATTTGTATGCTGTCGTAGGGCCGAGATCTCGATATTGGCAGGCAGAGGAGGAGGGCGAGGCTTATTCTCGATTTCCTGGTTTGGAGAAAATGGTTAGCAATCAAGAGTCCTAATATTGACTCGGCTCAATTGCCAACAACCTTGACAAATGCAGCGTCAGGCTCGGAACAGTGCGTCTTGTCAACGTGAGGAGCCATTTCGTGAAAAGGATCAATCTCAAACGGCAAGTTCTGTTGCAAGAGCGAGAGCAGTATGAATGAACTGGCACAAAAAGGGGAATGCAAGCCGACTACTGTCAGTACACGGAAACTCGCACTTGTGGTTTGGATTCAAGAGAATAACGAGCACAGACTTGAGGAGTAAATGGGGTAGTGTAACTTGACCCCATATTGACCGAGTGGCTCCCGACAATTGAGCGTAATCCACGGCATCCCGATAATGCCGGCAGCCGCTAAGCACCCGACATTCCGCTTACTGGTACATTAATTAGCCCCAGGATCATTGCTGCTGAATCTGAAAGAATGATTTTTGATAATCGCGTAACAGAATTTTCCTAACAATTTTCTTTACTTCTTAGATATCTCTTTAGAAACAGCCATACTAGTAAAGATATATTACAGGGTAGCTAGGGCCGATTGATGTAGCCTTCCTAAAGAGCTTTGTAATTAATAATGTTTCTTTTTACCTCCATATGCTACTCCAAAAAAGCGGATATATAACTAGCACTGCTTGCTTTACTGCCCTTCAGTTCAACACCTGCTGAATAACATATCATATTCTTTGCATATTGCGTCTCATAAAAGGTTTTCCCGAATCACCGAAGATGTCGCAAAATATCAAGACTATTCCAACCGACGAGTACAAAGCCGTCGTCAAGGCTGTTCAACATTACGTTGATAGCCTTATTGAAGCCAGTCCACAAGTCCTGGACAAAGCATTTCACAAGGACGCCACCATGACTGGCTGGTCTCCTGATGGTTCCTTGGCCTCCGGAAGCTACACAGCTCTACATACGTACTTCGAGACGTACGGGCCGGCAAAGAACATCAAAACCCACACCGATGTTCTTAGCATAACGCCAACGACGGCAGTAGTCCGACTCGATATCGAAGGAGCGCCTGATGCTCCGTATACAGACTTCCATATCCTGTTCAAGATTGACGGCGAATGGAAGATCATTGCCAAAGCATTCCATGCGTACAAATCGTAACTGAGCTTGGTCACCCGCAAACAAGTATGAGTTTGGACCGGATATCAATGGGTGGGAGGTCGGGGGCTAGAACGACTTTGCTGAGAATAAATTTGTCTTGAAGTCGTCCAATTAGTTCGGAAACAAATGTATATCAACATGTCTTGAACAATTCCTGTCAAAATCATAAGTTAATAGCCCACTAAGGGGTTGTCAGTGTTTATTATAAATGCGAAGAGGGTAAACTGCCCAAATTGTGATCATTGGTGTGAACCACTCACTCTTGAGATATTTCGTACCGAATATCATTAAGAATTCTTACTCCCCGAACTTCCGTGATATATTGTTCTGTATTTGAGTAAATGGTCTAGGTTACGAACTGAGAATTCCTCAGCCTGAATCGGCGAAACAGGGCTGCCATAGCGGCCGGCGCGTCTTGGGGCTCTGCTCCAGCTATCTGCTGACAGGTACTTTAAGATTAGAAATAAAATAGTAAACCTTATACTAAGTATAATCAAATAGGCAAGCTGTGCTAATGGATTCTAGATATGCAATATCATACTTTATAGTTCCCGGTTATATAATTAATAAAGTTTTCAAGTTCTTTAGATAGCTTTAATATTCTTATTAGAGACTGCCACGAATTGAAGATTAGTAAGTCATAGAGCCAACTCAAGGACTTGTCTCAGGTCAGATAAGCTTGACTGCATGTATGAAGCAAGTACATATTAATAACGGCTTATTATTATTAATATTTTTTATATCTTTCTGATAAATAACCTAGAGAAAGCACTTATAGTATAACAAGAGTCTCCTTCCTCCTAGTAGAGGTATTCTTTATAGTAACTTATTTAATTTCTTAATTAAGTCTATAAATCCCCTGATAATGCACCTATAGTCTGAGGGCATCCCAGAAGATGCTTTCAATGTCCCGGGCTCTTGCTGTCAACTCGGAAGTCTATAACCTCGAAGCCTCCGTTGCTCCACATCCGGAAGCGACTTTAAGAGGCCTTGTAGCACGTCGCTTTGCCAAATACTTAATAAGCGGTCGATATATGTACTCTAGATAAACGTGAAAATGTGACACTTGAAACCAAGGGATGCTTGTGGAGGCCGCTACAGAGGCCAGGGGCATATTCAAATCAGTTATCAGGACCGTAAGAGTACTCTTGTTAAAGCCGGCCTGGACGAAAAGGTCGGTCAGAGTATAAGCGCTAAGCCGGGTATCTGGGCGTGGCTTGATGAATATAGTATAGCCGGCGGCGAGGGCGGGACTGGCCATGTGGAGGATTATGGCAACAGGGAAGTTCTAGTAACCGAATACTACTGCTAATCCCATAGTTAATAACAGAATTAAGAGTTATTAATATTATGTATTTCCATTACGAAATCGATAAAGGAAAATACAAGAAACTATAAGTAAACTGCATATACCAGCTTGAAAATTATCAACACTTCTCCTCTTTCACCAACCTTACCTTGCCTATCAATTACTATTTTATTCTCAACAAGCCGTAATGGAAAAGTTCTTACTTGATCTTCCGGACGGTGGCACCATCTCAGGACGAGTCTACATACCCTCAAGTGCAAAAGAGTCTACTTATGTGCCGCTCCTTATTTGTATACCAGGTGGTAGCTATAATTCCGAATACTTTCATGTTGATCCTGGCCATTCCATTTTTAGACTCTGCCCATACCTTGGAATACCCGTTATCTCTTTAGACAGGCCTGGCTATGGTAGCAGCAAGAGCCCCGCCGCGGTCGGGGAAAACGAGACCTATGCCGAAGTGCAGGGTCGCTATCTCAACTCTACCATCCTGCCTACACTATGGAGTAGTTTTGCAGATCAGGCAAATGCAACTGCCATTATTCTATCGGCACACTCTATTGGAGGAATGATGGCCATCATCGCGGCTGGCTCTCATCACGCAGACCATAACTACCCACTAGCCGGGCTTATCGTCTCGGGCATCGGGTCTGAGATGGTCGAAGGTCCTAGGATGGCCATGATACAGTTAGTAGCCGACTCGGATGGGTTGGTCCACTTCAACACCCAAGCAAAGGATGCAATCATGCTGCAATGGCCCCTCAGGAACTTGGTGACGTCGGACATGTACAAACATACAGAGAGGCTCAACAAACCAATTCCACGGGATGAGTTACGGGACATAAATACGACGTGGCTGAGCTACTGGCGAAAATATGCGCACAGAGTTGCTGTGCCAATTATGCATGGCTTGGCCGAATACGACGGTCTGTGGACCAGTTCAAGGGAGGCCATTGAAAACTTCGGGAGGGCTTTCGCAAGAAGTCCGAAGGTTAGCTGCGAGATGATACCAAAAGCGCCGCATTGCATTGAACACAGTTTTCAGAGTAAGGCCTGGTATCTCAAGTGTTGCGGATTCGCTTTGGAATGTGTTGTCTGGCATGGTTTGGATATTGACGCGAAACAGAAAGGCGAACTTGGTAACGGGGCCGCTTAGGGGTTACTACTAGAGGTCATCAGTGCACAGTGCTGAGAGTTAACTAGAGCTTGTAGTGTAGTTCAATTAAGGCTTCCAAGGCTGCATGAAATGCTACCATGCAACTAGTTTTTGATACATGTTTTCCAAAGGTTAATGTTTAGATAAGTTGGCCGTACCCTACAGTTAGTTAGTCATAAGATATACACATTGATTCGTCACATTCAATTAACGCAAGACAGCTAAAGTGAACACTGATATTTCTCTTTTATACCGCTTTTTAAAACGCTTTATGCTAAGATTTGCCTTTCACTCTTTTGAGTCAAGTGTTAAGGCTTACCAGGATACCTGGGCATTGAAAGTCCAATTGGGAGAGCTTCCAAGGCTTGCTCTGTCTACCACCCTCACCGTCTGATTGTTTATTTCTGACCGCAACTCTCGGAGGCCGTCGGGCTTTAGTCATGTATTGGCCGTCAATAGCAGTCTTGGTGCATAATTACGCAACCCACTTGATGCATTGTCCACATTTGAGGAGTTTTTGGGTACCTGACTGCCTGAACTACTTCGGGCCGGATTAAAATAGCAAGTGGCTTGGCTTTTGCTTATGAGTCCATCCCACGGGACTACAGGCATGTGAGCCGGCATGGCGCGTCAACAGGCTTCTCTTGCGTTCATATGTGTCTGCTTATGTGTCTGCTATAACAAGTGGATAGTTTCCACCAAACTTTCGTCATAGCGGTGGATACTTGACCTATATAACACGTTCGAATAGTGATATTCGGTACTCATGGCGTTTAATTGCCGGAATGTTGTACATGGGCTAATAAGCTTCTGTACGGAGTATGGGCGCTACGGTTACCGGCAGACTCGGGCCATTGATCTCGGCTCGCTCGGTCTATTCTGGCTAACAGCCTGCTCAGACAGGCCGGAAGATCAGGAGTGGCCGCTGCTTCAGCAGTACTCAGAGAGTGATTGGATCTAGACAAAGTAACTTTCCGACGGACTTGATATAAAGGTCATGAGTTGCCAGAGAATTGCATAATTGAGTCTCTTCAGGAATCTTCTTGCCTACTAACTAAATATCATTTCTATCAAATTCCAAATTCATCATATTTTACAACTTTACCCTTCAATATGGCGTCTTCTACCAATCGAGCTATGGCCGAAGTGGAGATCAGGTCTCTCCTCGTTCGCGAGCGATACTATCGTGATACAAGCCAGTGGAATAAATTGCGAGCTTGCTACCACCCAGATGCTTCTAAAACAAATATTGATATCTCATGGTGAGTACAGCCCCTATTCTCTCCCAGTCACCATCCTCTTTACACAACGAGCAGGTTCCAAGGTGACATCGATGGCTTTGTTATCGGCTCGCAAGGCATGGTCACCGGCGGTACGGGGGCTATGCACACAATCTGTCCCATTGATATCCACTTGAATGGGACGAGGGCACTTTCTGAATCAACAGGGTCAATCTCCATCCGTTTCCAGCACAGCGGTATAGAATATGACTGCGTTTCCTTTACTCGGTTTATATCGTGCCTCGAGCTCGTGCGCGACGAGTGGAAGCTGTTATCTCTACAAGCGATCTATGATCGGGACACTATTGTGCCAGTCGTGCCTCGAGAGTTGCAAGATGTTTCGTTCGTACAGGATGCAAGGCAGAGCTATAAGTGTATTGATTGGGCTCTGTCTCGGAAAGGGTTCAAAATTAAGCAAGACTTGCCAGGGACAGATAAACCTGCTATGTGTGAAAGGTTGATGAAGGAGAGATTGGACTGGCTGAATATGCAGTAATTAGTGGGCAACTATATGCAGTCTTTTCTGTAAAAACAGACGCAAAATCTCTACAAAATGTCGAGAAAGGTGCTCGGTGCCGTAGGGCTGTTACAGCCCATCCCTATATTTCTCCCCCAACCTCAAATAACTCAAGTCTCGGTCTTTGACGACCAAGGCCTGTCCGCCTTATTCTCCGGATCCTCAAACATGTGCTCTAGGTTTGTGGGATTTGTCTGGTGACCAACCGTGTTTGTAGGTTCGGGTTTTCGGTTACTTTGCTACATACGTCCGGGCCCGAACTGATTTGGCAACCTTGGAGTGGATCGTTTAGACTAAGCCAAGCCAGGACGAAATCGTGGGCCCAGACCCCAAACTCCGACATCTAGCACGATGATCCCAAGTATACCTCCACCTAGAGTGCAAAAGCTACAAGAAATCGCAACGACTATGGAGGTTTTCTCGGCCTTTTCGCCTATTATAGCATAACCATATCACCAGAGGCAAGAAAGTTGTCAAAAAGTTCCAACGACAGGGCATCCAATTGATCCGGGGTGATATCCATATCTAGAAATCGGTCCTGGTTGATAGATCATGTCAGTGAGCCCCTCGAGACAGAGCGACAAGCAAGCATCAAGAAACGAGTAACGCACCACACTGTTTGAGGTTTCTCCTGGCGTGTCCACGTCCGTCATTTCTGTAGCAGGGCCCGGCGTTTCTGAGGCCGACTTTTTCGGGGCCTTGTTCGCCAGAGTCACAGCCTCCCGGGGGAATCGGAACGATACGTGTGAGCAAGTCAAATGGTGGATGTACCCAAAGTGGCCCGAACCCATATCTAGGAACGCGATATCCGACAAGGTTGTCGTCAACGAGGGATACTTGAGAATATACACAAGGACATTGATAATCGCGAGCATCGGATAATAAAACGCGGCTCTACATGCAAGAATTTAGCCAATGTGCAAAGCTTGCTCTAGGTATACTTGCGTTGATGATGAGTTGAGGTCGGGAACCCAATGTCTTAGGGATGCGATGATCTGACGGGCCGCGTCTGCTGTATGGGTCGAGCTTCGGGCGACGGCGTCACGGAAATAGTTGTTATTCTTATTCGCAATGATAATTCTTGAGCAGATCCATGGATAGTGGAAGCTCGCGTGCAATTCAATGATACTCCCCCAATAGGCCCTGTGCAAACGGATGATGTTCGCTCTGACTTTGTAAGAACCCTGAAGACGTACAAGAGCGGCAGAATCCACGGGAACATGATCTGGCAGGTGATCTCGCCATTCTGACAGCTTTGACTCGACGTACTCTACTTCTCGAAACCGTGTTTCTGGGGACTTATCATGTCCTTGGGCGGAGTAGAACCGTTTCAGTGTCTCAGAGCAGATTTGAGCGTGTTTAACAAACGCAGTGCATAGAGTCACGTCCATTGCGCTGCCAGCCGGAATGGTGGTGGGAATTTCACAGCTGACATCATCGTCGTCTATGATCTGCCGAACGTGTCAGTTTCATCTTGACGTTTCCGCGCGGCCCCTTCCAACGATCAGAGAGCAAGCTGACAAGAGGCTTTGTACTGACCGATGGGCGCCCAGAACGCAAGGCGATGTACTTGTCATGGCAGTACAGGGCCCAAAACATCCAAGATCGATTCAACACGTCAAGCTCGGAAAGACCCCACGCCTTTGCCGGCTGTCTATGAAGGCCCTTGGACTGCGCAAGGCGCACTGCTGTTGAACAGAGCATGTACTCCACAGACGGACTACCGAGCAGCTCTGCAAACGAAGTCTGGGCAGGAATGGTGAATATTCAGAAACAACCTGCATAGGAGCCGGACTCACCATGACTATCAAGGCCTGCACTGCTCGGAGGCCAGTGGGCATGTAGACTAGTTGGGCATACACGGAGATTGCGTTGAAAAAGAACTGCAGGGACCTTTCTTGGACCGCTTTGAAGTCTTTGACCCCATCCATTGCCGCAGCAGCTCGACACCCTGCTGCATACACAGCATTTCGCATGGCATATGAGGCGGTGTCCTTTTCCGGTGAGCTGGAGCAGTGGAAGTGGCGGCGGAGGTGATCCTCAAACTCCGGACGGTAGACAACACCGAAGATACTGTCGTGGGAGTACTCAAAATAGCCTTGGGATATTTATCGGTCAGCCAGTCAGCAAGTAAAGAACAGAAAGGAAAGGCTGCGGGTCTGCGAGCAACATGAACGCACTGGTTGCATAATGCCAAGCTGTGTCAAAGTCTGGCTCTGGTCCTTTTTCTCGAATTGAAGACTGGGAGAGGGTCAAGTGTTTGGTCCAGTCCGCGATTAGATCTTGAGCTACTTGGTTGAAGCCGCTAGCCCTGGCTCTCACCGAGACCCATCGTACGCCAGGCTCGGAACATATCGACAGCCAGGACCCTGGTCCTACATGGGTCAGTATTTCCTACTTAGAGGAGGGAAACGCATTGATGGGCAGACCATGGTGTTCCCAGTTGATCTACTTACACGGTTAGCGCAGGATACAGACAAATGGCCTCGTCTCCACACAGTTGATTACATACATCCTTCAGGTCGATGGTGGCCTCCTCACAGTCCGCTTCGGAGTCCCCGGGAGCTAGAGACATCTGAGTATGTGTTTCGGAGTTGTAGCCTTGAGCAACTTGATGGCGAGTCAGTGGCATGTCAGGCAACTGTGAAGTTCCCAATTGGATGGGCTCCGCGGCACTCGCGCAGTCAGACCCGGAATGTAACCCATCTGGCCCTTGCGTGTCTGGCCGTGGAAAGCAGCCATGTGGAGTCATGGCCGCCCTGTCGACAACGATGTTACCGCCGTCCACCTCGGAGCCCACATCGCCCTGGTCGTCATCGATTTGGAGGTGGCAAGTGAAGGTTGCCGAGTTTGGTCGGCTCTCCGGGGAAAGCATGCGTTTCTCGTTACGCTTGCGTCTTCTCCGGGACTTGGGCAGGTATACGCAGTGCTTATCACGGTCCTATGTCTATCAGCAGCAACTCGAAGCTCGTGGCCCCATAACGTACACGACAATTTCCGCAAGGCACGGAGCTGTCGCCTGGGAAGAGTGTCAGCTGCTGCTTCTCATGTAAAAGTGCACCTTTCGGTCCGCGGGACTCGTACATTTTACCTTTTTCGTCCTGCAATAGCTACAGGCTTTGGACAGCTTAGCTGGCTCGTTCTGCTGCGACATTGTATTGGTGTTAAATCCCGAGATGAGAGGTAAACACGCACTCGACTTGCGGCCGTTAAATATTAGGAGGAACTCGAAGCTCCATTGCGGAGCCGAGGGGGCTAGAGCATAACCGGACAAGCTCGCTCGACTAGCTCTGATTACCCCAGCTTATACATGTTTCTGTTCTTTTTCTATTTCTTTTGATTGGTTTATTGGAGATTCTGTGCGGATAAAGACGTCCGCATTTGTCCGTAATTCCGACAGGTCTACGAAATAACATTAGTCAGCGGAACCAGTCAAACAACAGACCCGTAAAATCGGTCCTGCTATACGTGTTGGGGTTTTTTTACTGTCTGGGTCAGTATTGAGTTCATCGCTTTCTAACTTGAGCCTTTATCGAAACAATCAACCCTCGGCGTATAAGTAGCCGGTATGTTCCTGCGCAAACAATTTGCACTCAGAGGACGCTTCTGCCCTTGAGGATATGATTAGTTCCAATAATGGCAGACTCTTCAAAGTGGACGCATCTCATTCGCTTTATAGCTGTTGATGACGACATCGTTCGCCTTGGGCAACTTGTTGATGTCACGCGAGATGTTGGGCTAGACTCGTTGGAGAACAACCCCATCTTCGCCTACATTATCGAGGGCTCTATCTTTAACGGGAAAATTACAGACAAGATCTTACAGGTTCAACAAGTGCGTGCGAATAAGGCAGATTGCGATTCACAGAAAGGACTATCCCGCTGACTGAGCAGCTTCTGTCCCCCGTTGACCCTCAGCATTGCTCCTTCATAAGATGTATCGGTCTTAACTATAAGCGCCATGCTGAGGTAGCTTTACCCGCGTGCTTACAGCGGCGTGACGGAAGCTGAAGCAGAATTCAGGAAGCTCGTGCACCGATTCCAGACGTTCCGCCGGTTTTTGCGAAGCCCAGAACGGCAATAGCAAATCCGTACCCCGGTACTATCAATATTCCAACATGCGCCCAAGATGGTACTAGTGACTACGAGGGAGAGCTCGCAGTTGTCATCGGAAAAGCCGCCCGGGACATTACGGCACAGGAGGCGCCATCGTACATTCTTGGCTATACTGCCGCCAACGATGTCTCAGCAAGAGCCCACCAGATGAAGAGTTCCATGCCCGGATTTTCAAAGGGTATGGACTCCAGCTGTCCACTTGGTAGGCCACTTCCAGCTTCATACGAGTGCAGTCGGGACACTGAACATGTTTCTCATATCCAACAGGTCCTGTTTTGGTCTCGAAATCTGCTATCGAGAACCCCCAGAACTTGTCGATAAAATCCCTTTACAACGGTGACGTGGTCCAGGACGGAAACACCAGCGATATGATCTTTGGTGTGTATGAGTTGTTGGCCTATCTTTCACAAGGGACTACTCTTGAACCTGGCTCTATCTTGTTGACTGGGACGCCTGAGGGCATCGGATACTTCCGGAACCCACGGATCTGTCTGGGCGATGGAGACTTGATTCAGATCCAGTTACAGGGAGTCGGGACTCTGACAAACCGCATTCATTACGAACAGGACCACTAGGTAATCTGTTAATCTCATGTTGTTTTGAGGCCACGAGAGCCGGGCCGGTAAGCATAGAGAGCAAAGCAAAACACGTAATGGGCAACCGTGATACTGAGGAAAAGCAGTTATTCACATGTTGAATTTGGAACCGAGGGCGCGTGTTGTACAGCCAGTGGCCATGTGTAAGCCATGGTTGTTGCGATGATAGAGGGAAATACGGGAACCATTGGATGACGATTGCAAGCGGAATTAGCTTTCGAAACCATGAGAGTGACAGTCATTGTAAAGATGAGAATAACCTGACGGGCCAAATGTTTCTGGCCCAAAGCCATCAACGCTGGTAAATAATATAGGAAGGCAACTTCATTGTGATGAGACAGGTAAAGGTGCACGAAAAGCAGAAATAGACCAGCAAAAATAATTAATGTGTTTTTTTTTGACACTTGAGTATACCGTGAGATCGGCTCCATAAACATTTTTCCCAAGTCATCGCCAATGCCATTGTTCGGTGCCAACGAGTCGCAGTACCGAGACCGGTTAGACACTTTGGTGTCCGGATATATGTAGTAATCAAAGTCAGTCTCTTGACCAAAGAAATGCTACCAAAAGACTATAGGGTCATGGTGGTTAAGATGTAAGAGGGCCATCGCCATGACAGAAAAGGGCTTCTGAATTAAATGCCAAGCTTTCCATACTTGACTCACTGGTCTGTTCATATCGGACAAAAGCGATTATTTATTTGTATATATGTTATTTTTAATGTCAGTCTATGGTAAGAGCAATGAGAAGGCTTCATGCAACTCTTTTCCGTCTCGTTCACTCTTATGAATACGGCGCCAGGCCACAACGTTGTCAGGGCGTACAAGAATAGCTCCTCCAGACTGGATTCCCCTCAAACTACTCCAACGGTCATCGTAGTCCATGTAAGGTGAGTTTTCGCCGACTTGTGCGGACACAATTGCAATGCCCAGTTTTTTGGAAATGGCATCCGCTGCTTCTACCCAGGCTTGGCCGTGGTAGTCTGTTATCAGGGCAAATGCAACCTGACCCTTGATCAAGTCATGCGTGGATAGAATCTCTCCGTCCAGTTCTAGCCACGCATGAGGCAGACGGTGTCCCGGGCGAGTTGTGGGGAAATACTCAAGCCCAAGAGGGTCCCTTTTCTCAGGCAAGCTCCTGTCAGGCACCAAAAAGCCATCTGAGTATCTGAAACCAAGTTCAATCCCGTGAGCACAAAACTCGATAGCTTGCGTATCGATGATGCGAGAAACTTGGGCTCTGAAGCTGTGGCCTCTGTCTGAGTCTTCAAAGAGAGTCTGGAACCGTAGCTTGTTGGCGCCCTTCTGACCAGGAACTAGACCGATAGCAGTGTTGATAACCGACGAGTTGCTGAAGGTGAACAAGCCCCAGTCGCAGTTGACACGGCCGACAGGACGTCTTTCAGACTCATAAGTGTTCAAGATTTCGTCGCCGGCTTTCTGGTTGAGCACCAAGGCCAGCTTCCAGGCAATATTCAGAGCATCCTCGATGGCCGTGTTCAGACCCAGGCCGGTGGTGGGCGGGCGGCGGTTGCCAGCATCACCTGCGAGAAACACTCGACCCACGCGATAACGATCTGCAAGAACTCTCTCAATTGCCCAGTGGCTGACCTTGTGCACGTCTATCACGAGTTCGGGGAGCTTCAACAACTCCCGGATCCTCGGAACCAGCGCCGACTCATCGTGGCGTTTGTCGTCATCCATGGCAAAGCCAAAATGACAAACCCATTCTTTGGAGTGTCTTCCCCAGTTCGGACCCATGGGTACAAGTGCGCCGCTTTCAAACACGGTTCCGCACTCGCCGTTGATGAAATGGCAGGCAAAGTAGCGATCATCCCAGTACTGAGAGAGATCGGCGCTGAAATGTACCGACACCATGTCGGTGATGTTAGTCGGCCCTTCCATCTTGATTCCGAGTCGAGGGCCGATTGTGCGGCCGCCATCCGCGCCGATTAGATACTGGCAGCGGTACACAGTCTCGTTCTGTTGCTGATCCATGGTCTTGACCTTGACAGTGTCGCCCTCGTCGGCAAAGTCGACCATAGAATGCCCGAACAATACTTGGCCAGCGTTTCTTTCTTCGGCAATCTGTCTCAAGATCGGCTCAAGCCGAAGAAGCGGCAGATTCCCTGACCGCAGCGGCGCGTCCCGTCTAAAGCCGTCCAAGAGTTAGCATTTCTCCATCTTTATACGCGGAGCTATAGAGCCTGCCAAAGAAGCAACCAACTTATAAGATTCAGAGTATCCAGTTCCCTCGTTACCGCCAAAGCATTCAAACTTGTGGATGACTTTGCGATCCGTAGGACCCGTGCCACCCAGCGATGTTTGCCAGGCGACTTGGCTCATGTGACGCGGTGGGCACGTCTTCCGCAGGATTTCGTCGACCATGCCGTGGCTGCGCAGTATCTCCATGGTTCTCTGGTTGAGATAGTGGGCTTTCGGTAGTTGCGAGGTACCCAGGTGCTTTTCGATGAGAACATGACGAATCCCATAGTTAGACAAGAAGCTCGACAGAGCCAGGCCGCAACCACCGCCTCCCACGATGACAACTGGGGTTTCAATTTCCTGGTGCATGGTTAGATACGGGTTGGCAGTGTGCTTTCGCTTTTCTCAGTAGAGTGAGGGCGACGTTGGTGTGAAGGAAGCGGCCGTAACTACTACGTTTTATAACCTACATACTGCAAGCTCTGTTAGTCAAGCGAATACTCGGCACTAACATAGCTCTACTACTTTAGAGGGGTACTAGTAATCCGGGGTTTTCTAAAAGTCCGGGGAAATCGGGCTAGCTACGGCAGCCGCCTCACGGAAACCCGCTTTGTTCCCACCCCGTTTCCATTTTCTCGGTCTTTAGCCATTCTCACAGCCAAATTTTATCGAGACTACGCCAAAACGGCTTCAACTACTCGCTATTGTCAGAACCGAGGTCGGAACATATGCTTGTCTTGCCGAAGGACGCGACGACCTGTACTTGCCGGACCAGGGACAAGATACCCACACAATGTCGTGATGAAAGACATGGCTACATCAGTGACTTTGGAAATGTTTTATTCGCAAATTACACATAAATGTGATCTCTGAATGACAATGCCTTATGACAATATCTTATTGGTTTGGAGTTGCTTACTTCAGTTTATATACAGTGTTTATCTATCTAGGTCCTCCGGACCTTGTTCAACCTGCTTATACTAAACGGCTTCCGGAATGTCGACTCTTTTTCCTATCTCAACGCGTTTTTTCAATAGCTTCTCGTCTACACCGTCTTCCAAACGACGGAGCAACTCGACAGGGTCAATATCAGTTCCAATAGGATTCTCCTGAAAAAGTGGTGATACCATAAACTCATTGGCCTCCTCAACAGTGTTAAAGTTATCAACTTGCGTCTCGATCGCATTCCCATCTGGGTCCTTGTAGTATATGCTTGTTGTGGGACCGTGATTCACACACCACGTGGGCTTGATCCCCAAGCTTGCCCGTACCTCGTAAGCCTGAAGCAAGGATCGCAATGAAGCATATGCAAAAGACACATGATGCAAACCACTAGAATTTGCGGCGCGCGGCTGTGTGCCTTCCTCCTGGATAATCGCCACTCTATGATGCTCATCATCGTAGCGAAGAAACGCGATGAACTCGTTCTCAAACACTCTTTCCGCCCCGAGGAAGGTAGACCAATATTGGACCATGGAGCTGATGTTTGCGGTTCGGAAAACGACATGAGCCAAGGCGCTTGGGCGAAGGACGCTGATGTCTTGCATGATGAGTTCCGGTAACTGTGGGACTGTTCTTACAATGGCTAATGAACACTATTCCCCAAGCTGATATGCAGAGTAAGATTTGGGAGTGAAAGATGAGCGATTAAACTTTAGACCTGTATAACGAATCTGGGTTTTATGAAGTTTTGGTGGTGACTTATAGGCTGGTGCGGCCTTGCTTCTTCTTTATAACCCGACGCCTGTACTCTATACAGGAATGTCCTGGATCATGATGGGGCTTGTACTTTGACTATACTTGCTTGGCTTCAGGCCCCTCAGGTGCTGATCGACCACTAAGCCTAATGGGTTCGCGGTTTATGGACACGAGTTCCCATGCAGCTATTCTTACCCCGTGGCAACCCCTCTCCAATCACCTCCTGATGACCAATTTGACGCTCCAGTTCATGTCTCGGATAACAGCTCCATACAATGCCGAGTTGTTTCCATACTTCCATATAGCTTCCCGATTGACCGAGTTCCGCACCGTGCAAGAACGTACTAGCCGCGGACAGGCATGCATAATGCATATCGTCGCATCTCAGCCCCGAGGTTAATCGTCTTGTACACATCGAATATAATTCTATGCTAGGAGTTAGTTTGTAAATACTCTCGGCTTTTGCACAAATCGACGAATTTGTTTGCGCTTACGCGTTGATCATACGTACGACATGAGTTCCGTGGCGGCATCGACCATCTGGCCGGCTCTTAGCATCTCGGCCGAGGCTAAACAACTCGTTGATCACTTTTTCACTCTTGTTGATTCAAAATTCAGCGATTCAGGGGAGCGCATTGCCAACGAGATCTTCACTAAAGATGGGATTTTCATCTTGGCAGACGGCACTTTCAAGGGTACTGCTGGTGAGACATCCTTCCAAGCCTGCCCAACACTTAAAACACGAGCTGATGAACTGCTCCGTCTCTAAGAAATAAGCACTTCGCGGAAAACCTCCTGGAAGTCCATAACATTTCGCCACCACGAGATTTTGAAAGTCTACGCCGACTACAGTGGCACAGACTTCATTCTCATCGGCAGGTTGCGTGTGCAGACTGCCCTAGGCCAAGAGTCGGTTCGGCAGTTCGTCGCCAGAATCGAAACTGAGCAGACACCCTCTGGACTTAGACTGCGACAGTACCGCATTATAGACCCTGCGGCAAAAGACTCGCCACCATATTTTATCACTACGCAGTCAATGGAGACTAGGTAGTCCATATAGAGTGAGATGTAGAAAGTCATATTCAATATACACAGGGTGGTGATCAATGCAATCCATTTGACATCAACCTTCGGTTGACACACTTGACTGATTAATCACTATTCCCTCTCTTCAGTAGATCAGTCGAGGTCTTATCTTAAATCACTCGGTGTTGTGTTAATGTCACCAGCGCCTCTTGCCGTGCCATGTACCTTCACCGCCAGCTTGAAACCTAGCAACTAACATCAACGTACTACCAGGCTGCTTCCCCCTCCCATGTCTGCATTAGCAACCCTCTAATCCATCCGCTCACCAGCTTTTCCTCCACCTAGGTGCCACCCAATAAAGGCAAAAGCAATATTTCATTGTTTTTGAAAACATTCTAATAGCATCGCATTCCACCTAGCCATTCAGTACCATCTTGATGGTATTACCGGCACCTCTAGATAGCTATCATGCAGGAAGATGCAGTGACTCTCGTCATTATTAATACCGGATCCTGCTCGAGGTACTTGGCATGTTGGACCGTATTCGCCGAAATCGTGGCCTTGTACAACAACTCTTAACGTCTCCCCAGCTCTGAACAAAGTCGCGCTTGGCTGGATGCCGACATCCATCTCGACGGGGACACCATCTTGCAACATCTCGGCGTCCTCCTCTAGGTAGGTGTGATCAACTTCGTCACCAACCGTGCACTCCTTGGAAGCTAGCTTTCTTTTCGAGGCACGCAACCAGCCCCAGGCGACATGCCCGTCGTTTGTGAAGGTATGATAGGGAAACAAAACAAGATTTCTATCCTGATCAAGTTTCTGCAGAGTTACGAATACATCGGCGTCACCAGCAGCAGTAGAAAGCTTTAGATGGAGGCGAGATGTCCCCGTGATCTCGGTCGGTGCCGAAAACGTCTTCTCCTAAAACACAGAGCCGCTGTTGGCTATGTATGAAACAGAGATAGAATTTGGGTCGGAGGAGGTAGGCAAAGAAGCCGATGAGAGCTTCTTGTTCGATCCAAGATGAAACTTGGTTCTGATTGTCCTTGCTATTGGGTATTCGTTTTCACTGCGCCAAGTCCCAGCATTGTGCTTCTCGGTAACATTGAGACGTACTCTGGGCCAATACTTGACCATGTCAGCACGATGACGGTCAGGGCCGTCAAGGAAGCGACTAAAAAATGAAAGCTGTCGTTCTAGAGATTCATCAGTCAGTTGCCACTCCCACTTTCGAAATCTTGTTCATGATTAGCCAAAATCCAGACGTGAGATCATCTCGAAAAGGAGAAAGGGAAGGTTGCTGGGCACGAAGGGGGACTTACGGATGGGGCTCGAGATATTTCATTTGAGAGGAAGCTGCCAGATATCCACGAACAGTGCCCGGCGTATGAATTCCATTGTCGGCCAGACTCGAGATAACGTAGACAGCACAGGTTATGTTGTGAACAGCTGGTTGGAACTGGCGCCAGAATTCGTCGATATACGGGTGCTCTTCAGAGGCCCGGCCAAGATCGATCACCGGTGTCCCGACACGGTTTCCGTGAGCCATCCACCTCTCATTGAGGACTTTCATGAAGTTTGGGTGAATCACTCCGCCTTTCCAGGCCAGCTCCCTGTACAAGCATGTCCAGCCATCTTGAACCATAATTGCCGAGAGATGAGGCGGTTGGAGGGCAGCGGCTTGCCTACAGAGCCACCGAGGTCAGCTAGAAGAGAAAGACTTACCCAACTAACGGAGACTTGACTCACCACTGTATGGCACCTAGTGCGCTTGCTCCGATCATGCCGACGTGTCCGTTACTCCAGGGCGCTGTGCCTAGATATTCGATCACGTCGTATGCATCAACGCCGTCAGATTGAGAAGCAAACGATGCTTCCTCTCCCTCAGAGGCAAAACTCCCTCTTGCGTCAACCACAACGTAGGCGAACCCGTTCTTGGTCCAGAATACCGGGTCGCTCCCCTCAAAGACTAAATGGTTGGAAAACCGGACGCCATCAAACCCCGCATCGAAATCCTTACTCGGCAAAATCTGTGTCACGTCGAACGGACTCTGCTTGCCGTAGGGGGTCATGGCTAGAACAATCGGAAGCCTAGTGGTGGATGAGCTGCAAGGACGGAATATGTCGCCTCGAAGCTTCACACCATCTCTCATGTCAATATCGTGGTTGTATTCTACATCCATGTTATGTTTAGTGTCGGTGAATCGAACATGCATTGGACTGAAGGCCGGGAAAACCTTCTTTGGCCCTTTTGAAGGTTTCCATGGAATTCCTTGCTTGACAATTGATAATCGCTCTGTTGCAGGACTCATAATCGGATTTGACGTAGGTTCAGTTGCTTTGACTTCTTGTTTTCAATAGTAGAATAGCAGTAAGTACTATCATAAAGTACAAGATATCCGCTTTCTTATAGCCAGACAGGAGGAGCAAAATCAGATGGTGCCGCTTGGCCTCAGAATTCCGGACATTTCTATAATCCCGGACCGCCTCATCCTAGTCTTCATACCGATGGCTCGCTTCCGCTACTGGCAGAATGCTCCAGTAGCAGGTGCAGAGAAACAGCAGTGGGACGGAGGATGGCCTAAAGGGGTCGGAGAAGAGTGATCCGGTACCTCGGCAGATGAGGACTCCGAGTGGGTGTGTAGAGTACGCTGAGTAACGGTAACGATTTGGTGTATGGCGGTCATTTGTTTAACCAAGTTGACAAGGACAAAGAATCAGAAGACGCTTTTGCGCGGGTGTTCCTACATATTACCGAGGTTCAAAAATGGTACAGATGGTCTTCGGGCCGTGCGTCCTCACATCTGCATCTCGACCACCGTCGTAGGAAGTGAGATGATGCCCCTGTATGGCAACGCTTGTAACGGTGAAAAGTGGCGTGGAGGGATCCAAAGATCTCGCTACGGAGTTTGCGCTGTATGGGCTTGGCTGTGCGGCATCTGCCTTGATACTATTTTCTGGGCGGAGCATTTGGTTCGACATTTGTATTGCTACATGGCGCCATCTCAATAGCCTGATCAGACGGTCTTGCATTCACAAACACTATTTCTTATTCTCGTCACTACACACCTATTCGCAGATTGGCCAATCTCTGCAGGATATCACATGCGTAATCAGTTTTCCTCTACCGACGTTGTATAGTCTCATAATTTGATAAGGATATCTAATCAGCTAATTACATTTAATGGATATATATTCCACTTCTGACAGCTGGTGTAAGAAACGCATGAAGGCCTAGGCGTGTCTGCTACTTCTCGCATCTAGACGCGTCTGCGTATTTCTGGAGGCGTGTCGCCGTTCCTGTCGCCGATGTTCAAACTGACCAAGAAACCTGTTCTCCCCGACATCAGCTAGAGTCAGCCAATTTCTTACGTAGTAGGGTATCCAAGGCGTTCGGTGTCAGTAACAGAATACCAGTGTTTACACTCACGGCTAGCAAAATTATAGGCTGAAACAGTAGCCGTCAACTCGACAATCTCTTGATTCGAAAAGCCGCAAACCGATCGGAGGTTCTCAAATGTCTCGTCTGTAGGGTTGATGTTCTTGGTCATCTCGTCTGCAAATCTCAGGACAGCTCACTCGATTTGATCCAGCTCTCCAGGTCTGGTTGGACTCGGGTCGGCGACTGTATGCATTTTGTTTGGGCTACGTCTAAACGATTCCGTATCCCGCAGCAGCGGTGCGTGCCATGACCATTCGTACCAAGCCTTATTGAGGACCGCCGTGCGGAGGATTGCGATCTCTCGGATGCAGTCAGGTAGACTTGATCTGTCACGGATGGCGGAGAACAAAACGTCCCATCCTGTGCGGAGCATGGATTAGCGGACAATCAGTCACACACTGGATGGCCAGGAAGTTTTCCCCTCTGGCTTTCCGGGGTCGTGTCGTGTCGCACCCACCGTTGGCTATCTCAGGTGCGTGGAGGAGGACGAGATCAAGGGGAAGTAGTCCATGTTCGGCCCGCCGGGTAGCAATGCGCTGAACGATCTGTTCCTCGATCCCCGTGAGGTCGGTTGTAGGGTAGGGAATGCAGGGGACTCTCATTGTTTTTCTCACTGACGATTGACGCAGAGACCAGCCAGAATAGCAGGGGAAGAAATATAAATGCTGGATTCTATAGGTCCGATGAAGTCTAGTAAATTAAAGATAAGGTTTCGGGAGAAATAGCATAAGCTATCTTGGATGCAAAGGGACTGGTAACCCATGTTCTCGGCATCTCGGAAGTGTTGACAACGAGACATCGGCAAGTGGGTCGTCGTACCGAGGCGGGGCCGATAGTGGATCAAGAGTCCCAAAAGGGACCACCTGTTGAAAGTGTTGTACCTCAATGTACTCGGGTCCTTGATAAGCTCTTGGGCCTATTAACATGACAACCTTTCTCCCGTTCGAATCATAGATATCGAATCGTCGTTAATCTGCAGATGCTTCAAGTATTAGAGGGCGAGGGTTACGAGACTGCCTCACGCCAATTTTCAACAACACAATGTCTACTTCTCACGATGCAACAAGTACAGGCGGTGGTATCGACTTGAGCGACGACAATATTACCCAAGCGGTCATTGATATCAATGCCAACAATCCGGATGCCAGATTCAAGTTCGTGATGGAGCAGTTAGTCACGCATCTGCACGACTTTGCACGCAAAACGCGCCTGAGCACAAGCGAGTGGATGGCCGCAATCCATTTTCTAACAAGGACGGGCCAGACATGCACAGATTTAAGACAGGAATTTGTCCTGCTGTCCGATGTTCTAGGTCTCAGCCTACTCGTGGACAGTATGGACCACCCGAAGCCCCCGGGATGCACTGTTGGCTCGCTGCTTGGACCCTTCCACACAGATGATGCAGAAGATGTCGCTCACGGCACTCAAATCAGCAACGACGCAAAGGGTAAGCCACTCCTCCTCATCGGTTCGGTCAAGAACACGCAGGGGGAGCCAATCCCTGGGGTGACTATCGATGTCTGGGAGACAGACTCGACTGGCCATTATGATACCCAGTATGAAGATCGAACGGGTCCCGCTGGACGTGCACTGCTTACAACAGACGCTGAGGGGGTATTCTGGTTCAAGGCTATCGTGCCCGTGCCCTACCCCATCCCTGGTGACGGCCCCGTCGGTGAGCTCCTCAAGTCGCTTAAGCGGCACAACATGAGGCCAGGCCACATGCACTTTAAATTTGAAAAGGATGGATATGACCCTTTAATCACGTAAGTGCGCGAGCCGCAGACTTTGGAATTCCTTCCTGCTACGATGCCCAAAAGCAGCTGACTCGTGTTGCTCCCAAAGCGCTCTCTACCTTCGAGGTGACCCATACGAGAACTCAGACGCCGTATTTGGTGTTAAGGCGCCATTGGTGGTTGGCCTGGACCAAGTCGACAACGCAATGGCAACAAAGTACAATGTTTCAGATGGAACCAGACTTCTAACCTATGATTTTGTCCTCGCGACACACCAAGAAACAAACGCGTTGCGCGACAAGAAGAGTCAGGAGGCTGTAGACAAGCTAGGAGGTAACATTAAAGTCGTCCAAGGGCTTCCAGTCAAGTTCGAGGATAAGTGATACCACCGAATCACGGGATATTTAAGCAGGGGCCAGGTATTGTTGACTGTTAGAATGTATGCCATCCGTGGTACCCTGGGCAAAAACTCAACAACTAGCACAAATGCGAGCTTCAATATCATTTAATTGATACGGATTCTGGATTTAATGGCCTCCAAGTTGTTAGCAAATGATCCATGAGCCTAAAGGTGGGTTGAGGATAGCCTACGGTCAAGCCATGACGCGGCGAGGCCTCAGAGGATTAGCGAGAAGACCTAGTTCCTACTGACCGATTCGGTCATGGCCTTATAAAAGCCGTAGTACATGTTCAATTTCTAGCCGACCAAGGCTAGGCAAGTGCATTATTTTTTTTTAAGGCTGTGATAGTCCCGAAACCAGTGAGTCCTTTGTAAACGTGAGCCTGACTATATCCTATAACCTTTCTAAGCTACACAAGATAAGTGAAGCATGTTGGAGAATAGGAATATGTCTTCCTGTGGTCTTAAAGGAGAAGCACTCGTTTAGCAAGCCGACTAAAGGTAGTTTGAACAAATTCCCCCCCGAATCAATAGCGTCGACTGGAACTAGGTCAGGGACCATGTCCCGCAACTCGCTCGACTGAGGTGGCCTTGCCAGGTACGGGGCACCGTTGTTGTGACTAATCCAGCGCTGAGATTCAAGCGACTCGTGCCCGTCCAGTAGAACCTGGGGCGAGCTATCTGCGTATCTGTTGATGTCGGTCATAGTTGGCGAATTCTTTCTCGTGGCAGTCCAGTACGTCCAGAGGCACAATAGGGCACGATAGACACCAAGCAAATGGAAATCGGTCCGTTCTTTTGGCTCGATCTCTCTACAAGCTCTCATAAGCTGACCAGCATGCCAAATTGCTGACCTGCTGGCTCTACTCTGCTGCCACTCGTGAAGTTGTGAAAAGGCTTCAGGAGCAGGCGCCTGTTTTCCATCCGTCAAAAGGAAATCTCTGAGATATCGGGGGGTGGCCGAGTAAAGGATATTGAACTCGACCATGAAGGTAACATGAACTGATCTGGTGGCAATTGGATCTTTTTCGATCACGTCTCGCAGCTCCTTAAACAAATAGACCAAATCTGAATGATTATCTGATCGAGTCACATCAGTAAATGACCAGCCAGAGTCCCGTTGCTTGTGGAAAAGTACGCTTCGGCGACGATCGTCGACAAGCATAGAAAGAAAAGAGTAAAGCATCGATAACTGGGCCGATTTAGACGACTGCGAGGACGGAAGGCGGTCGATAGATTGGATATCAGAGAGGCAGTCGGAGATGGACATTCTTGGCTCTCCGAAAGGTTGTTGAGGTTGAGAGTCTAGGTAGATGGACCTCCACTCAATCGCTGACTTTGCAAACCAAAACCGGCAATCTTCAGGTATAGGTGTCGTGACTTCCAGGGGACAAATCTGCGCTGGCATGTTCCTTATGACGGACCGCTGTGTGCACTGCAGAAGATGTCGATGAACCGTCCTAAAATCGGGAATGAGACTCAGTCATACAGAGGCGAAGGATGAATGGGCCGAGCCTTACCGCTTCAAAGACTCCTGTTCTGCCCAACTTCTCCATGCCTCATCCAGATCGCCCCGAGGCTCCTCCAACATGAGACCGGGGTTGAGATAGGCGTGTTGAGCAAATCGACCGCCGTGTCGTAACATCTGTTGGCTGTTAGTTCTCAAACGGTCCAAGCTTGTCGGCAGGACTCAGTCACCGATGCTGCAAGCCCTGACAAGATATCAGACATTTCGGATATCCTTTTATCTCCACTCCAAAGACCCGTTTCTGACAATATCATGAGCGATTGGACATACGATATGTCGCGAGTCAAGGTATTATCCCGTTCAGCCTGCTGCCAGATTAGCCGCCCGTCGCCTTGCGCCAAGAACAAACCTGCGACTGACTGATGCTGCAAGATGAAGACGTAGCACGTCAAGCAGCGCTAGCCCGAACTTACGGGCCGAAGGGCTTTGTGACAACGCGGCACCCGCGACGATGCATGCTATTAGAAGGTGCAAACTGCAAGTGGATGGATCGAACGTCGAAAGGTGGATGAAGGCCAAAGCGCTGGTCTCCTGGGTGCTAAGGAATGCTTTGAGTAACTTGTCTAGTATTTCGGCTGAGGGGAACATGCGAACTGCGAGCAACGAGTGGGCGGTCTGAGTGCCGTCAATCATGGCAAGCATGATGTCTTCTCTTCGTTCAGCCGACAAACATGTATCGATTACAACGGGATTGAAATGGCACAAGTCTTCCAGCAGCCGAGCTTGTTCCTCCAGCGGAACATACAGAGAGGCTCTGGCTGCAGCTACATAATCCTCGGGAGTTGGCTTCCAGCCTCCTAGAGTGGTATTGTAGGCTATGACGGCTTCCTCAAAAACAGTTTTGTCCTGGGGCTGCAAGGTCTTGGAGGTTATGTCGGCCAAGTCTGTCGAGTCGTGCATTTGAATAGCCTCGGAAAATCCAGAGAAGTCAATAAGCGAGAAGGGGAAAAGAAGCGATTGGTCGAATTCGGCGTGCAAGGGGGCATTCTTTAACCACTCGGTGGTGTCGGCGGGCAAAATGTCGCCAAGGTTGTCTTCAGGCTGCATATCGCCGCGCGGCTGCGATCTCTCAGCATATTGACCGCCTTGAGGGAATATCACTTGACCCACCTGTGAAGAGCCCGGATGACCTAGTGACAAGGGTGAATTTGGAAAAGCGAAGCCAATCGTGGCGTCGCTGTCGCCCATGATAAGGCCTCCTCCATCCTCTTCGGTGGGGACGGCAATTGGCGCTGTCCCAGAGGGCTTCGGTGCGGTCAACTCTAGGATGCAAGAGTCTTCCGTGTCGACGGAGATGCTTGTGCTTGAATCGCTTGGGGCGCGTAGTGGCTCCACCAAAATCGTCTGGTGGCATTGTGCAACCTGAGTTGGGCGAACACAGGCAACGCCACGCTTCAGGCACCGTCGGCATCTCTCAAGGTCGTCACATCGAACCTTGGAGGCAGCACAAGATCGACATGCTTGAGAGGCCCTTGGAGGCCGGCGGGACGGGCCTCTCTTTATTGAAGGCTGGCTATCCTGCGAAGGCTCGCAGGGTTCTTGACGCTTCATAGTATTCCTTAGCCTGAGTGAGATGTTGTAAGAGTAGCGTGTCCAAAGCGATCAGAAGTCCTTTACCTATGAGCATGATTGGTTTGGGAGGCGGGACTTGATGATAAGGCAGGACTGTATTGGGTTTCTAGAAATGCTACATGTTAGCACTGGTAGCTCAAGAGTACTCTTTCTATCAGGAAGAAGCAATTTGGCGGGACCACCAAGGCTTCGTACCAAGCCGCAATGAAGAAGCACCAGCGTCTGGACTCGCCGCCATCGAGGAAGAAGTAATAGACAGAATCAAACAGTTATGTTGGTGCGAGAGCTATCCTACTAGGAAGAAACAGGTAGTAGCTCAAGGTGTCAGTTACGGTCGCTGGGCGGGTTGGTGGATTCGGAAGTATCAGAGGAGAGGGCGAAATGACAAGCCGTGGCTCGTTTGGCATGGAAACGGTATATATCCGCAATAGCGTATGACTAACCCGCATGAGCTGATTCAATCGCCAATGAAATTGTCGAAATACCATCCAAGAAATGCGGGGGACCCGAGATCTGCGGGGTCTCCACACAACTCAACACATCACAACGGCACTCTTTAAAGGCCGAGGCACCGATGTCAAGCATCGACTTTGTCCGCGAGGAGTGGACCAACCGCATCAACTCTATTAAAAGCCATGCTGTGCGTAACGACGTCTGGAGCTACTGGAATCTAGACGAGATTAGCCTAGTCCTTACTGCGACCAAAATATCAGACTCAGCAACCAAGGTTATAATCCTGATATGTCACGGCCTACAGGGTATGTATGATAGTAGGAAGAACAAACATAATGCGATCTCTAATGACATCGATTTCAAAGTGTGATAGGAGTTTAAATAGCACTACCTCATCGAAATGGCTAATAACATCCAACTTACTACAAAAGACAATAAATGGAATGCCAGGACTGAGTTTAAAAAGCTTAAGAAGTTCCTTGGTAATAATTATCTCTGTAAATAGCTCAGCCGCTGAGCTGCTCTGCTTGACAACGCCAAGCATTCTAAATAGAGATACTCAGCGAGTCGCAGGTTTGTAATACTTTTACTAAAGCACCCCGCAAATTCAACCAACCATTCTACAACTAACAGTTACGATTCTTGTACTCCCTAGTTACTTTGAAGATATCTTTAACATAGCTTAACCCTTCTAAGCAGCTGTGGCTGAGTCTGAGAGACTTGGACTTCTTTACCACCATCCACGACTCTCCTAGTGATGGTCTCACCGCACGCTCCTCGATTTTTGCTCAGTCACTCTGGTTCGACAATTTCAAAGCGTATCAATTCATGCTTCGGCGTAATTATCCCTTTTGAGCCTGCCGGATATCTTTCCATTCTATTGTTGACGCAGCCAACAGTGCTGTGGAGCTCAGGTCGACCGCAACTTCAAAAGTCCCTCTTATACTAAAATGGCATGTATCTAACACTGCATACATGTTCTAGGAACAGACCGAGTTACACAATTCTATGGCACCGGCTTTTCAGTAAATTGCGGATCTCCACATTAGACACTGCAGATAATCTGGCAAATACATCTCAAGTTAAATTACTCTGTTCAGACTCCAGGGTCAACAAATTCAGCTCCCCTAAGATGTTAACAGAGGATGAACAAGGCCAAATCGTTGTAGATTTCATGGCATGAGGGGGCTATTTGAGCTACCAGAAAAGCCGTTCACAAGGCCAAACCGACGTTATAACGGCGGAGACATTCGTCAGCAATGCAATAAGACTGGCTGGTGGCAGGCGTGACTATATACTTTCCCCATTTGTGATTTCAAGAAGTAAATGGAGACTCGGCAATTTAAGTCCGTAATAGGCTCGATTCTTTTAGTACTCAGTCTAATAGTCATGGGCGTTCTCTCTGGCGCTGTTACCCAGCATATCAAATACTATGTTCCTGCCATCTCCTCTGATTGCCATGACACGTGCTAGAATGCTCTACTTGGTTGAAATGGCCCCAAACTGTGAGGTCGCCGCCCTTGTCGGAGCCAATACGTAGTAAGAACGCAGTTGCGTCTATCCTTGGTGATCTGATGAGCAAATCGACGAAGAAACACCACCGCCAGGAGGCCCTGTATGTAAGAATGCGTCCTGGGAGAAGACAAAGTACAGAAGAGATGTTGAGCACGCCGCTGGACAGGTCAGTGAACCACAGCCGCTCTCGTAGGAAGCCACAGGGACCAGGATCATTATGCCGCCAGAGAGAATACCAGATAATCCAGTATCTGCATTCAGTTGTCCCATGATCAAGTTAATCGATTTCGGAGCCGATCTTGAAGATGAGAATGATGCTACGGAACCCTATTTTATGGAAAGATCTTGCAGGTCCCCCTAAACACTAGAGTTCATGGTGCCCAGGTAAGCATGCAGATATCCCATAACACCCTTTATCATGGAGGGAGTGGAAATGATCGGTGATTCTGTGAATGGCGGTTGCGACGATTGTGCAGCCCTGGCCAGTCATCAGTCACAGATTGGGAGACTTCCCCTGCTTGGATGACATAAAGGTAAATTCCCGACGAGACCATCCAAAACCTGATGTTTTTAGGCCTGTAATCGGGTTCCGCCTCATCGTACCTTTCGGGGTTGGAGCCTGGGGATGTTATGGTCCGGGATGGTTCGAGCGCCAAGCCGCTCTGTGGTCGGCTTAGCAGAGGAATGGTTCAGTCTCAGGTCAGACATTGAATTCGAGAAGCGACACCTATGGAATGGAAAGTTCACCTGTGACAGGAAACAGTATACAGAGCATTTCGTCCAAGCTGGAGATGTCAAGTTGGTTACAAGAGCATGCCCTAATACTGCGTAGTAAACCGGAAACTTCCAACGACCGTCAACACGGCGTGTGATTGGGCCACGGCGGGGCATTGTCGGTCGATAGAAAAGGTCCGTCTTGGCTCGGCTGTTAGATTTACCCGCCGCTAGCAAAGTCGGCCGAGACTGCCAGCTGCCCTTGAGTACTAACTGTAACTATACGAGTGTGCCCATGATCTGCAATCACTCTTGGACTTCACGCAGCGAGTCGATTACCAATCCAATCTGCCAAGAAGAAATGGTACTGCCTTATATGAATTGACCCATCATGCAGAAGACGGTTTGCGGTCATCACAACTTACAGCAACCATCCAACCTACTTTACTAACATACTTGACGCCATGATGGCTAAGCAAGTTGTCATCCTCGGTGCCGGCGCCAGCGGCATTGCCACCGCCCACAAACTCCTCAAGCACACAGCTCCGAAGATCAAAGACCTCAAGGTCGTTCTCGTTTCACCCAACACCCATTTCTTCTGGAATCCTGCTATTGTTCGTGGACTGGTACCTGGTGAGATCCCAGACGACAAGATGTTCATACCAATTGCGCCAAACTTTGCTCACTATCCAATCAACACGTTTCAACTCGTCCGTGGCCTCGCCGAAAGGATCGATACGGCGAGAGATTCAGTCGCGGTCAAGTCTGACAAAGGGCTAGAGACCATCCCGTACGACTACCTAGTGATTGCCACCGGCTCCAACGTCGGATCAGTGCCGGTCAAGCATCTGGGAGACCACGAGTTTACGATCGGCGAGTTACACAAGCTACAGCACGATATTAAAGCGGCAAAGTCGATCGTCGTTGCCGGTGCTGGGGCTAGTGGCATAGAGACAGTCGCTGAGCTGGGCCTGGCGTATGGGAAAACAAAGGACATTACCCTGATTGTACGGGGAGATCGGATCCTCACCTCTATGCGACGTGACATGAGTGAGACTGGCGAGGCAGCGCTGGAGGCGACGGGAGTCGAACTTATCCGCAATGCCTCCGTCACCAAGTCAAGCAAGGATGGGCCACAGACCGTCATCACCCTCTCCACCGGCCAGAAACTCAATGCCGACGTGTACCTACCCCTGACTGGCGTCCGTCCCAACACTTCATTCCTCCCGGAGCAGTGGTTGGATGGCGACGGGAACGTCAAAGTGAACCCTCACCTCAGGGTCGAAGGAACGGAGAACGTCTACGCGATCGGCGATGTCTGCAACCTGGAAGCCAAGACCCTCCTGGCGGTTGAGACACAGTTTTCCTACTTGGGTGATGAGCTTGATGCAGTCTTGGAAGGCAAGGCTGGTGCAGTTACAGATTACAACGTGGATACCAACGTTCGTCAGTTCGTGTCTTTGGGAAAGTGGAATGGCTTGGGACAGTACAACAGCTGGAAGATCTTTGGTTTCCTTGTGGGCATGATGAAAGGCCGCACTCTCTTCGTGGAGACAGCTCCAAAGATCGTGCAGGGGAAGCAGGTGATTCGGACAAAGGTGTAGCGGAGGTTAATCAGTTTTTGATGGTGTGAAGAGGTGATCGTAACAACAATAATGTAATTCGGGGAGCATTTCTAATTCTGCTGCAGATGCGGAACAGATATGTATGTGCATGATAATTCCAGACTTGCTGTTCCCCATTTCGCTGCCGCTTCAACTGGAAAGACTCATCACAAAAGGTGCTCAGATAGCCTTGGTCTTTGCAAGTAACGCCGCCAGGCGGTCTAAAAACATCTATTTCATATACCAGTGTCCCAAGACGGTCCACCTCCGTACACAATATCTCCTACCACATCGGTCATGAACATCCAGTCAGCCGGCCCCAAGTCTACCAGGTCAGTATTGCCTTCCGGGCGAACGGTCGCGGGTGAGGAATCCACGGGAGTCCATGCATATCCACTCGCTGCATCCATCCGAAAGTCGACTGTAGGATTCTGGCGCATTAAGCCAGGCTGTCTCTGTGCCGCCAGCTCAGTCCGGATCAATGCGATTACTGTAGGTGGTGCTGGGGTTGGTGCACCCATTTCTGCTAGACAGTTTTCACGAGCTTCCCAGGCTTTGAGGAGCATTTGACCGAATGATCTGTAAATGTTTGACCTTGCTCCTACGTAGTGAAAATTGCGAGCATCGTAATTGGCAGACATGGCATCCCATGCTTGCTCAACTAACGGGCCAGTGGTTCGACGCCTCAGCTCCTGAGTGAGGTAGACGTATGCCGGGAAGGGAAAATGGAAATTAGCAACCCAAAGAAAGCCTTTGGCTTTGATTGTGCGTATCTTGGTATCGATTTCGATCATACGGATCGCAGTAGAGAGGATCATGTCACGGTATGCCCCCGACTGCGTGAAATCGGTATTGGAGATCTTGGAAAGGTGCTCGGAAAGCCGCCACTTGCAGATGAGGCTGCGACCAATACAGATCGCCATGAAGTGCAGTGGAACTTGGTCATGGCAATGGATGAGATATTTATTCTCGATCATGTGTTCCAGTTGGTCAACTGAGCGTTGTTGCGCCGACTTGTCAGCCATGCCCTTGAGCGACGGCGAGGCGAAATCGAGGTGGAAGTCCGCATGTCGTACAAACTCGGCTATCTCGGTTCTGATCATAATAAGCAGAGCCTCAGTAAGATCTGCTCCAGTAGGAAGCGACCCCCTGCCGTGCATAGAGAGGTCACTGTCGTTGGCATTCAGAGGTAGTTTGCAGTCCCAGGTGGGAACCAGATCTGATGCTTGAATATTAATTGTAGCTGTCTCTTGGACACAAGATTGGGACTCACTCGAAGCCTTGCAGTCCGCCATTTCACCAGTCCTGCTATCAAGGAGAATAATCTGCCACCACAGCCTTCGGCGCAGTTCAGCTTCAAAAGGAGCGAACGTGGTATTATGCGATTCACTGTGGAGGCCCATCCTCTGAGCTATGCGCACCGGAATTCCGGTCAGAGTGGAGAGTGATCGTGGGTCAATGTCCTTGCTCGTGATTGCTGTTAGCAGCTGACACACAGGGTCAGTCATAAAGATACAGGGCTTACCTGACGCATGGATAGCTGAACAAACACGTCAGATGCAGCACGGCAAGGAACACATCAAGACGGATGGAACTCACCAGAAAGAGTAAAAGAGCCGCCAGAACTTGTAAGTCCGACGTGCGTAGGAAGCCGGCGTTGACGAGCGCATGCCGACAACCACTCCGGTACCGTAGACTCAGTGTATTCTTGGATTCGCCAAAGATGCTATGGCATTCGTCGTCGGTAATAGAAAACAGAGCAGCACAGTATATGGAAAACATCAAGGCGTGCAGAGCAGGGCTCGTCTGGCTGAGGTTCCTGCTAGCTTCACTGATCTGTCGTTGGAGGGTCGGCGCATGGGTGATCTTGAGCACTGGGTCGATATTGTCCAGGTAGATCTGCCAGAACCAGAGAATCCAGGCCGGTTGCGGGTGTAGTGAGACAAGTCTCCCTGGCTCCATTCCTGTGCTGAATAAGAGATAGTCATCGTTCCCGTAAAACTGATCCCACGCGCCTTGGACGACGGACTGTCCAATGTCCCCTTCTGGGGAATCGACTGGCGACACTGGATGGCGAAACTGCAAGGGTATGATATCAGTATCCTGATGGTGACTGAAGCATGCCTAAGTGATTGTGAACAGTTCCAGCACCCGTTCTAGATAGGCACATCAGCGGGTAGATCTCACTCACCTCTTGGGTTATGGCGCCCCAGAACGTCCTAGACATAAGATGTTAGTACCTTAGAGGCTTCAAACATCCACTACTATCAACAGCGCATCTTACTTTCCACCTTTGGGAGGCTTCATTGACGGATACCTATCGGGCAATGGCGGCTCTGCATCAGGGCTGTTGAACCGGGTACCCTTGGGAGAGTCGCCCTCAGATTCGGATTCACCTGGATGTTGACGCAAGCCCCGCGGCGTATCATTGTGCAAAGGCTCGAACTCTATGTCGTTCTGGCGAAGTAAGGCTTCATACTCCCTCAATCGTTCCAGAAGCTTTCTCTCGGGGAATCGTCTTTTCCGGTGGCGGCCTGGCAGCGTCTGGGTGACACATTCGACCTTTGCTTTGATGCAGGTGGAACCTGTGTTTGGAGTGTCAGAATTGATTAACCTTCAAGGGATGGATAGGCAAGAACAATAAGAATAGGGGGTTCGCGTACAAGGACTCTGTCGGTCACATCGGACCTTTCTCTGTTGGCAGAGTGCACAAGTAGGAGGCAGACGAGAATTTCGAGCTGATGGCGCCGACTGACGTGATGGAACTTGGGCTGTTGTTAAGAATGGCCGGCCTGGACTAGAATCCTGTTGTTCTACATTCTCTGGAGCCATGTTCATTGACCCCAAGCAATACTTAAGCAACGATGAGGATAGTGATTTTGGATGATGTCTGAACAGGGCACAGATTCATGCATGGCCAATCTGGCCTGGGCTAATTGTCGATGTCAAAAGACGAATGAGGGGCCTGCCTGCTGCAAGCGGAGTAAATCATTATCAACAAATATCACGTGACTATAAACTTCTTCTAAATCGAATCGCTATTTTCGATTGATTTTGCCTTGGCTTGCTACTCTTGTACTACGTAGTATAATTTCCTTGCTTTTAAAAGAGACCATATTAACAGCGACTCGAGTACTGTTTCCGAACGCGCATAGTAAACACTTGTGTCTATTGTTAAAAAGAAATTGAGACCACTTTACCTGGGACCATTACTACGTAGTCTCCCATTTCCAAGATTCAAACTCAACGCCAGCATCTACCCTACATACTACAATAGTTGTCCTTTGTCGTGGTAAAGGTCAATCAGTGATCTCGCCTCTCGCGGAAGCATTTGTCAGCATGGAGGCTTGCGCACGAGTCATAACTCCACCATCTAGCTTTTCGGACCCGATAGTCTAAGCGGATTAGTCTGTCGGAAATGTTGGACCGATTCGCGGTTTGTTGAATTCCCGACGCCCGTCCAGCCAAGCAGAGGTCCCGTACTCCGGCTCAGCACGGCCGGTTCTGATTGGAACACCGGACATAGCTCTTCCCGTCCCAAGTCATTCAGGCCGAGGGACGTCTACAAATAGGCAACGGCAACATGGAATGTATGGGAGTCCTTTTTTCCGCTATCAGAAGCTAAAGATCTGAGTCACAGTCGAGACAAACACACCAGCCAACCAAACAACCCAGAAAAACACATTTTATTTTCCCTCTCCCCCTTCCCATCATGTCTTCCCAGTTGAAGCCACTTGTTCTCTGGGGCGGCGTCGACGGCCCTAATCCACCAAAGGTTGCTATAGTTCTTGAAGAACTTCAGATTCCGTGGGAACCAAAATATCTCCCCCTTTCCGAAGTCAAGAAGCCCGAGTATGTGGCCATAAATCCGAATGGCCGGCTTCCTGCTCTTGAGGACCCCAACACTGGTATTACAGTCTGGGAATCAGGCGCCATCCTTGAGTACCTAGTTATGGAGTACGACAAGGAACAACAGCTGAGCTTTCCACTTGCCACTGCCGAATTCTACCATTGCCAACAATGGCTTATGTTTCAAGTGTCGGGCCAGGGCCCCTACTATGGCCAGGTGTACTTTTTTAAGCATTATCATTCAGAAAAGGTGGAAAGCGTCATTGATAGGTTCGCCAAGGAGGTCCGTCGGGTCTCGGCCGTCCTGGATACACACTTGGCCAACCACGAGTATTTGGTAGGCGAAAAGTTCACCTATGCAGATGTTGCCTGGATTCCATGGCAGGTCGTGGCTGGGTCTTTGGTTGGGGAAGAGTTGGATCTTGCCAAGGAATTCCCTAATCTTCAGGCTTGGCTTGATAGGCTGACCAGTCGACCTGCTGTGAAGAAGGTCCTGGCTGAGAGGGCAGAGCGGATGGCAAACCGAGGTGCTGCGTAAACAGACACTACGGACGATGGCCTGTCGCGATTCACAGTTGCAGTTGAGACGCCCCGATGGGCTTTGTCTGGAGATCTAGCTAGTATTATCTCAAGTTCATTCAATGCGAATAACCGTTTCTATAGCCATTAGTCCTTCTTCATAGTAAAAAGGCAGCTTGCTATTGATTGCAAATGCCTTTGAATATCTTGATCGTGGTAGAGTGCTCTTGAGCTGAGAGAAATGCTATACGTCGTCTTCCTCGTAGTCACCTCACATGATACATCACTTACAAAAATCCAACATGCTCAAATGAGCACATTACTAGAACATATAAGACACTTGTATATTCCGACGTGTTAGAGTGCAGAGTATTGCCAACACTGAAGCGAGACTTCATTGCCCTTTATATCAGAAAAACGTTCAAGCTTAGAAGACAAAAGGCATAAGATCCATCATCGATCCCTATTTCTACTCTGGAACATTCGTTCGCCTTAAGAACTGAACTTGGCAGCATTGCGGGTTGCGAACTCTTTCCAGCTTGTCACTCCATTCCCGACCAAGTCCAGGCTCTCCTTGAGCTCCGCACCAGCATAGTAGCCTGCGCCTTCAAGGAGCTTGAAGTTCTCGAGATATTCTTGTGCCACAGCAGGGGGCAAGAAGCCTTTCCATTGGTCGTCTGGGATCTGCGCCCAAGATGCGGGTTTCCCAGTGGCTTCAGTGAATTCAGAGACGATCTGGGACGGCGAATAATAAGCCGCAGCCTCCTTGATGTTCTTCCCAAGAACAGTATCTCGGTTCTTGATCACGGCAGTGACGAATTTTCCTTTGAGTTGTCAGTGATAAGCAGGAGGCTGGTTAAAGGACGCGTGATATAATAACATACCGGTGTCTTCCACATCGAACAGGGGGAAGCGGGCCTTGTCGCTTACGGGCAGGAACATTTGATAGCTGCCATCAGCTGTCTTCTGGAATGAAGAAAAAAGATTGCTCATAAAATATCCCGGCATAACAAAGGTAGCTGGAACCCTGCTTTCGCGAATATATCTCTCAATCTCTGCTTTGCCATCAAAATGCGGGACGTTTGGAAGGGCGCCCTTGCTGGCCTCAGTGACGTCAATCAGTGAGGAGAAGATCAGGTGGGATACGCCAGCATTCTTTGCTGCTTCAGTGACGTTTTTTCCCTGCTTGGTCTCAATATCACGAGATACAGTCTCCCAGTAGTTGGTCACGAGGAAAACCGTGTGAGCGTCTTTGACAACAGAGTTGATAGATTCGATGGACGAGAGGTCAGCCTATATCTGCTTGTCAACACTGACCCTCTGCTTGCATTCTTTTAGCTTCGGAAAAATTTACACGTGTCATTTCAACGCCCATACTGGTGAGCTTCTGCGCCGCGGGCTTGGTGGGATCTCGCGTGATGCCGCGAATCTTGAAGGAGGCGGACAATTCATGGTCAGCAAGGATAGCTCGAATTACGGAACCTCCCTGGTTTCCCGTAGCACCAAAAACAGTGATGATCTTTGACATGGTGACAAATAAGGCGAGGTATATTATCTTCAAACAAGAATGTAAAAGGCAGACTGATCTGACCAGGCGGTATTTGACGATTGGAGGAGCATGTGTTATATACAACTTATCAGCTTAGTTGAAACATTACACAAGTAATTGAAATCAGTGTTTGTATAGCATGAACCTTGTCAAAGCAGACGAATTCTGGCCGGTATGGAGAGCAATACGGGACGTAGTTGCGTAACGGTGACGAAGTGCGCGGCGACCGTCAAATCGTGAAATACCGAGATCCACTCTATTTACTTTCGGGTGATAGGATTGCCGAGTTCACCAGGAATGACGGAAAATCACGAAAAGCCGAGGCCCAATTTTGTATGCTAGTAGCGTTAGATGAATAAGATCGGACCGCAATATCAATGCAGAAGAGAGGAGCCTCAAGGCCCTACCCCCAGTAAGGTTCCTTGAGAAATAGAATAGTCGACAAATCTCGGCAGTTACAACATTAGTAAGAGGAGCATAGAGCTCGACCGATGAAACTAGATCCCTCCATGCTTAGATCTTTGCAGCGCAGGGTGTTGACGGGACTTCTTCAGCCACTTAATCTAGGTAGACAGTGGCGTACCTCCCATTTGCTGCTCTTCAACTAGCGGAGCATTCTGGCGGTGACAGAAGCTGACAAATGGAACGATCCCAATTTTCATATTTCTGACTGGTTTATGCAAAGCCTGGCCTTGGACAGCGCATACTGGGGTGATGAAAAGTTGACGTGAGTTCTATTTAACCACTTCTATACCCTACTCTAAATCAAAAGGCCAATCCATCTCATTCTGCAATCTGTGCTACCAGTCAACATCACTCACTTCCCCCCATCATCAAACATCATGATTTCTGCAAACCACATTGCCTATACGGAGCGCATCAACCCATCCGGGGTGACTACTGCACTCTCAGTCGAACAACTCTGGCCATTACTACAGCGAAAGATCCGACGTGCCCATGAATTTGTTCCGGCCGGTATCACGAGCACCAAGGTGCTATCGACATCGACTACCCCCTTGGGGCTACCCGTAACAGTACGCGAAGCAGTGTTCCTAGAAGGTGGCCGCGTCGTTCGTGAGGAATGCATTGAGTACTACCCCGTCAAGGTTGAGTTTGTTCAACCGGACGGGAGCAAGGTGCAGAACATCATTAGCGAGGGGCCCGATGGCGAGCTTTATATGACCTACACCTTCGAATGGTTACATCCTGAGCTGGAAGGTGACGTTACGGCGCTGGCACAAAAGAGGGAGCATGAAATGAAACTGGCAAAGCTAGCTATTGGGAGTACTCTGAAGGTTATGCGGGAAATGGTTGTGGATGGACGGTGGAAAGAACAGATCTAAAGGGAGCTCGCACGTTGGCATACAACTATTAGTACAATATGCTTTCGTTCTGTGTCAGTATTGTTAGGTTTTATCTAAGTGCCGATATAGTACTAAGAAACTGTGGACAAGCGGCAATGCCTGACACTCTTTACTAACAAGGAACTGAACCAATTCCGAGAGACTGTTGCGGTTAAACAATTTATATGAAAGAATGGGATGACCTCCAGACTGCTCTCTGACTATCGGCGCCTAGATAAATTTCAGCCATCCAGATATAGGGTAATAATAGTTAATATTTGTGCTTAACCTGTTTTCCATTATAACTCTTGGCTATTTACTAAGAGGCGCATATATGGCTTGAGGAAGGGGTGTTTCCCCCTGCGGAAAGATGCAAATAACGAGAGGTAGCCATTCAACACTTCTTCTGCGCCGCTCATGTAAATTGCTGAACTAGACCTCGTGTTCGGAGAGTCTTGTTGTGGCGGTGTCTCGCTCGTATCGATACTGCTCGAGTCTGCATTGATGGGATAGTCTTGGGTAGGCGAGTAGCCAGCGCAAGGACTACTGACCTGCAGTGCCGCACAAGTCGCTATGTCCGATAGTTTTTCAACCTGTTGTTATGGTCGCTTAGTTATAGGTCTTTGTCAGCGGTGATTTTAGGTATACATACGAGTCCGACACCATGTACTTCGAGACTGGTCATATCAAATTGCGAGCAGGTATCCAGAGCCTCGCTGGCAATAGCTAGGGCGTATTCATTACGGAACTCCTCGTCATCAGACTGTGCTTCAATGTAGCCGTGGCTAACAGCCAAAGACCACAGCTTGATCCTGATCCAGTGTCTGGTAACAAGGATATCTGCATGCTGGGCATGGGTATCAAGGTCAGAAAGCCCGGAGAATTGCGGCGGGATCCGGTACCGTCTTAGCAGAGTGAGTATTGTGCTTCTAGTAACATGTGTTGGGGCCTCCTCCTCCCAACAGAGACCTTTCCAGCATTTTATGATGTCGGAATCAATAAAGTCCACCTGCTCCAGCATACTGCTGATACCTTCCATGGCAATAATGTTCTCGCTTTCACCCCTATCATCCGAAGATGCGATGGCGTTTTGTAATTCTTGCAGCTTGTTCCGGCTGAGTAGTTTCAGACCCGGGATGTAGTCTCTTTGCACCGAGTAGATTCTCTCAATGATTGTGAGGCTGATCAATGTCCGGAGTCTTCGTTGTTTCTCGGTCTCTCCAATATGGCCATACGATTCAGGCTTGTCAAGATTCATCACCTCGGCTAGAGCTGCGGCCTCCCTGAGCCGGAATCTGGCGGCATCAAAATTGCCTTTGCAGAACTGGCAAGCAAACAAAAAGACACTTGTCATGATTGTTTCCAGAGTCGGGCTCTGACCGAGGTCAGACTGTGAGTGCAAGTTTACGGCCAGAGCCAAGTGAGCGTCGGCTCTTGCCTCGCGATTCGGCCATGGGCGCTTTTCCTGGCTCTGCACTGGCTGAAGTAGGACTAGAGAGCAGATGGCTTGAATCAATGAGCCAAAAGACCGATCATGAAGATGTCGTTGATTCGCGATGTTTTGTCGTAGAAAAGAGCGGGTAAAGAAGGGCATGGACTGCTGTAGACGTTCTAGGAACACGTCGATGAGTTGTGGGATGGTGCTGTCGTCTAGGAGACGATCAAGTCTTCCGTTTTGGCTCGGGAGACTCTGGAGTGGAGAAGAAAGATATATTCCCGGACTTTCAGGCATGCTAAATGGTAGTGAGGGCACGTAGGGAGGAAGATCTACGGTTCCGAGGAAACTCGTTGGGTAGAAGAAGCATTCTCCCATCCCAAGATCCCAGTATTCCGTCCCCAGCTGGATGGGAGCGTTCATAGCAGGTTGTGTATGAATAGAATCGTCTACAAGCATTGCATTTAGTCGCTGTGCCTGGGTAGGAGTGCTCACCTCCAGGGCGTCTCCAGGATCAACAGCTAACCAGTCTACCCTTTCGTCAGACAATATACTGAGCATTTCCGAGGATGCTCCTGAGTCCGCATCCGGACCATCTGGCGCCGGTCGAATGAACCGACGTTTCTTTCGAGGCCGCTCGTATCGGCATTGTACACCGTTCTCATCACAAGGTGAACACGGAGTGCGCCGATCACACTGCAAAACGGGGGAGTCAGTCGAGGGGCCGATCAAGATAGACACAGAGAGGTCGCAATACCTTGACCTTGCGATGAAAACAATGATCACATGATCTAGTTTGAACAGTGCAACCCAATGCTGAATCGAAGATGACTTGATTCATGTCGGGCCGGCATCTCCTTTTTCCACGGCAAGAAACGCTCCATTCCGCAGCACGGCTCATCTCGAGCAAGAGACCTTTGTGACGGATGAGGAATAAAACCGACACAGAGTTGCCCTGGTTCGACTTATGAGCACGAGGAGAACTGCGGGGAAACCATGTCAAGCGTCTCGGTCCGACAAAGCCAAACAAACCATGCTGACTCCTTTCCCACGAAAGAGAAGATGCGCTAGTGTCACCTTTTCCGGCACCCTGGTCTGGAAATGTGCTAACTACAAGGTCTAGATGTGACATGGGGCCTTAAGCCCAATTGGGAATATTCCCGCTCCAGACGAGGGTCGGTCAGGAGATGAACTACAGTTGGCGATTTGCGAGGTCGTCAGGTTCAGCATCCGAAGCTTGCAATGTTGAAAACGCCGAATGCCGTCGTCAGTCTGCGCCGTGTGGTTTACTGCGCTGATGAACGACCCCCATCTTCTCGCTTCTCCCAAGACTGCTCTTTTTGCTGATTACCCTCGGTGGGATTGTCAAAGCAGGCATTGAACAGCAATTATCATGACTACCCTCGATTTACCCATCGCTGTCCAGCTGCCGTCTAATGGCTGCGTCTATGAGACTGTCCCCCATAGGACTTCCTACAACACAGGTTCAACAATACCCCAAGACGATGCCCTGCATCACCAGGGTACCATCGCCCCCGCGAAAAAATCGGAATGCCCTTCGCCCTCGACCCCAGAAAGAAAGTACGATAATCCACACAATCGCTGGAGACCGCGCTACCACCTCATGCCGCCGACTGGCTGGTTAAACGATCCTTGTGCGCCAGGCTATGATTCCTTCCACGATGTATATCACGTTGGCTTCCAGTGGAACCCTAAGAAACCAGAATGGGGCGATATCTCTTGGGGAAGCGCGCTTTCAAAGGACATGGTGTTCTGGGAAACCGGTTCCCTTCCCTCTATTGAACCGTCAAAAAAGCATGATAGGGAGGCTGGAGTCTTCACAGGCTGTTGGAGTCCTGTAACCTCGATACCTGGACGCAGCACTGCATTCTACACCTCAGCAGGGGTGCTTCCCATTCACCATACAATCCCATACAAATGGGGTTCAGAAGCAATTTGCGTTGCCACATCAGGCGACGCTGGTCGTACGTGGCAAAGGGGACATGCGCCAACAGTTCTAAGGGGCCCTCCTCGTCATCTCCAAGTCACAGGCTGGCGTGATCCATACGTTGCCAAGTGGCCTTCACTTAGCCGGGTCTTGGGCGAGGAGTCAGATGAAGTGTTGTTTGGCATTGTCTCTGGTGGTGTTCGAGATGCTGGTCCCGCAGTCTTTCTCTATTCTCTTGATCAAAACGACTTGACGACCTGGAACTTCCTCTCTGTGCTCACTGTAGCACCAACATTTCGAGATGCACATGTTTCGCAATGGGAGCCCGATTATGGTGCAAACTGGGAAGTTGTCAACTTCGTTTCGCTCCCTGACCCTGATGATGCAGCAGCAAGTCATGAGGTATTGATCATTGGCGTTGAGGGGCGTAAACAATACCCTAATGAGACTTCTGGCCGGCATCGACATTCAGAATTCAGAAGAGATCACGGCCAGATGTGGGTTTCGGGTAGCTTGACGAAGACATCAGCAGAGATGCAGATGCAGTTCCGTTCTGGCGGTGCTCTGGATTACGGAGCCATTTATGCTGTCAACTCCTTCCACGATCCAAGATCCAACCAGCAAGTTGCGTTTGGCTGGATTGTTGAAGAAGATCTCTCTGCAGAGCTGAGGGGGGCACAAGGATGGGCCGGACTGTTATCGGTCCCGAGAATCATACAGCTAGTCAGGATACGTCATGTCGTCCATGCATTGAAGTCGGATTTGACATCTATCAAGTCATTTGACGTGGTGCCAGAAGACAAGCCGCAGCAGAAAGTACTGTTTCCTATTAGGTCTCCGCAGACCTATACGATCACGACAATATGTGCTTTACCAGACCCTAGGCTTAACAAACTTCGTCAAATTCAGCGATTCTTGGGTCCCATCACCAATCACAGCTTGCCTGAGGCTCTGGGGAGCTTGGACTTCCCGCTCGGATGCTCTTGCTGGGAGTTCGACGTGTCGTGCGATGTTGGCAATGAAGTACAGAGTATCGGCTTTATAATAAGCCACACAAGAAGTAAGACTACCAGACATAGCTTACAAAAGGCCCTCGAGGTTACTAACATTTCTTGTTTAAGATTCGGAACTGCGTACCGTCGTCTCGTTCAGTCCTGACTCGGAGACGCTTAAAATCACGCGAGCTCAATCTACCAATATGGCAGACATATGCGTCGCGGATGAAGAGGCACCACATACCCTCTTTTCAACCTTGTCTCCTGGAACTGCTGCAAGAGCTGAGCCGTTTTCTGCACAGGAGCCCTTGCGACTCAATGCATTCTTTGATGTGAGTTGTCTAGAGCTTTTCGCCAATGAAAGGACGGCAATTACTACGCGACTGTACCCGGAAAGTATGGCCTGCTATAACATTCAGCCATTTGTGGTAACAAATGGCGAGCGCCCATGGTCCGGTCAGCTGCTTAAGTGTACAGCGTGGGAGCTAAAGACTTCTCGCTATGAGGTTTAGATAAGGATAGATAAATGCTTTAGGGGATTTGTACATAGAAACGATATCTCACATTGTTTTAGAACATAAATGAAACTTCTTTGCTGTATCTTTAGTGGCTTGAATTGCTATCCAGAACTACCTAGTATGTATAAAAGGTTGAGTAATGGCTAAAGACGCGAGCTAGCCAGTGAATTTATCTATTAGAGATAAAAGGAACTCGAGACCTGAACACAATATGAGAAAGACACCTAGTATAGGATCCGCCAACTCTATCATAATCTTACCCAAGTCTCTTATCCTATAGGATAGACCCATCAAGATCGCTTGCCTCTCTGAGGTTTTGTAACTAAGTGGAGTAGAACTTACCTTTGGTGTTCTTGGGAGATAATTTCGATCGAGGGAGTAGTATAGACAAGGTAAAGAAGGCATATAAGGCAAGCGTCAGCGTCCAGATGTATCAACTTCCAATAATACATCGCCTAGGCAGAATGCGGATCATGAATACAATACCCAAGGGGTACCAAACGCTTGCACTAAATGGCGACATTGCAGTGGCAGGTTTTAAATGGGAGCGGAATGATTCTGTTCCGGATGAAACTGAGATATAGAGAATCCGTGAGATTAAATAACTTCTCTCTGAACGCGTTTGCAGCGAACTGAATATTATCAATATCGAGGTCCTGAGCACCAACGCCCAACCAACTGCCCATTGTCGCTGACAACCTGACTAAACCCCTACTCCATTACTTTAAACCTTGGCTTCGTGGTGGGCAATCTCAGCTTCAATCTTCTCCTCATTCATATAACTTTCCATGGACAGGTTGCACTGATAGTCTGATGCAGGGAATGTTAGCGAATCGCTACCAAATTTGTGACATTTCTTACCTTTGAACTTGCGAGCGGGAACACGAGCTTCAAACATGGCATCCAATTCGGCTGGAGTTCTTCCCTTGGTCTCAGGAAGGTACAGGTACGTGATAATGATGCATCCGGCCATCCAACCAGCAAAGACGAGGTACGTCTTCGGACCAAGGTTACCTCTGCAATGAGAGTCTTGTTAGCATGCGGGTAGGTTGCAAAGAAAACAGTTGGACTTACGCATCGGGCTGTGAGATATATGGCAGCACGTAGATTACAACAGTGGAGAAAGCAGCCAGAGTCAAGAACGAGAAAGAGCTGGTCTTGTTGCGCAGACGAGCAGTTGGTATTTCAGCAGAGACGACATAAGTCAGAGGGCCGAATCCAGCCGCGAAGAAGAACGAGAAGAGCATACACATGCTCGCAATGGCCTTGGCGATGCTGGGGTTTCCTGTATAGTCCATGAAGCCAAGCACGCCGACGACAAGATCAATGCAGAAGACCACGGTGAAGGTGCTGAGAGCGAGGGTTCGGCGTCCGACTCTGTCGACAAGGTAGATTCCGGTGACTGCACCGGCGAAAGCGAGGATCGCGCCGACCATGGTGAGAAGGAAAGGAGACACGTTGCCGCTGACTGTGGCGAGAAAGATGGTAGCGTAGTTTGTAGCGAAAGCAATGCCTGAGAGTTGCTGCATATTTCCGATGGACATGGCCAAGAGAGATCGACGGAGATTAGTTCCGCGGAATATGTCAATCCACGGGACCTTTGAGTCATCCTCACGAATGGATGCTTGGGCCTTCAGAGCCGCAAACTCAGCTAAAATCTCAGCCTCTGGGTAGCCACTGCGGACGCTTCTGAGAGACCTAAGGGCGTCGCTGTCACGAGACTTGGTAAGGTACCAGGTTGGTGAATCATCCACGAAGAAGAGTCCAACGAAGAGGATGAGAGGGAAGAGGATGCCGAGGCCAAGGGGGAGACGGAATGACATGGCGGACATTTCAGTGCTCATGGACCAGTTGACGCCACTTGCGACGATGGCTGCTGTGTTGATGAGAACGATGGATGTTCCGACGATGGCGCCACGGACGTTTTCGGGTGCAATCTCGGCCATGTAGGTTGATCCAAGCACAATGAAGAGCCAGATGGCAACATCTGAGAGAGACCGTCAGTGAACACGGACAAGCTAGACGTGGTCAGTCAAGACTTACTCGCAATCCAGCGACCAACGACAATCTCGGCCAGGCCAAAAGCAGCAGTCTGGATAGCGCTTCCAACAGCACTAAATATGCAGCCAGCAAGTATCATTTTCTTACGGCCGTATTTGTCGGCGAACTTGGCTGCTAGGGGCAGTCCGAGGACACAGCCAGTGACTGGGAGAGCTGTCATGATGGAGATGTCGGTCGAGGTCAAGTATGGGGTGCCATTGGGAAGACGGGTGTGAGATATTTGGTTGACGAAAGGAACCATGGCTAGGATACCGCCGCTGATGGCACCGTCATAGCCAAAGGTGAAGAAGGCCATGGCCATGAGGAAGGCTGAGGGCTGGTGTCAATCTGGTGTACCCTGACACGACGAGGGTAAGAGGGACTTACTGGAGTAGACCAACTTTGGACTCCGGAAGAAGTTTGCCAGCGAATTGGTTCGCGGCGAGGCATGATGAACGTCGGCAGTCATGGCGAAGGTGAAGGTGAAACCGATGCCAGGAGTAGGATGAAGGAAACAAGACGGACAAGTACAATGTGACCAAGTCTGGATCAATTGATCTTGAGAGATGAGGGTCTCAAAGTCTACTGTGCTGATTCCAGGATCAAGGGCTCCGACTGATGGGCTCGACAAGAAGTTATATACACAACCTGGCCTCGATACCCTGGGGCTAGCGCGGAGACATGGAGGCACCTTGGGGAAAATGGAGACGCTGGGGTGACTTTTCTGGGGCTGGAGATCTGGGGAATGGGGAGACCCTACAGGATCAAACGATGCAGTCTCCAAGAGACCTTGGGTGTCTCATTTTGCAAGGTCCTTCCAAACCTTCCTACAGATCCCCACCAGACCCCCGCCAAGTGTTTTATTGGATGCTCTATCGCCCTTTAGGCCAAAAGCCGCGAGACTAGGTCATGTGAGGGGGAAGAAGGGTTCCCGACATGCGGTGCCGAGGGAGACGGGGATATTCCCAAATCGGCCAAGTACAGCGCCACTAAGTTGCAGCCTGTATAAGACAAAACTTAACCATCAACCGCAACCCGCTAATCCCTCTTGGCAAGGCCCATAAGAGGTGTCTCTCCCCAAAAGACGAAAGTCTGCATTTATCATTGCTCGCAATCAACTGTGTTCAGAACAAAGATGACAATATCGGACTATATTCTCAACCACCCTGAGCTGGGTAGCATCATCGGCTTTGCCAGAGACGATGATGTCGTACAGTTTCGCGGCATCCCATTCGCGTCGGTTCCTGGTCGTTTCCGCCAAAGCATCTTGAGAGCCGGGCCATTGCCTTTGCAGCCTTTTGATGCTCGCCAACCAGGGTAAGTGTGTATAACTGAGCCTTTTCCCTACAGGAGCAAAGCCATTGACTTGCTCATCCATATCAGACCCGAATGCCCTCAATTGGTCCTGCCTTTCCCCCTGTACTGGACGGCGCCACCTCCTAGTGGGTATCCTACCCTAGACAAACCCATTCAAGATGAGTTTAACTGCCTGAACCTATCTATCACTGCACCACGCAAGGCTCTTGGATCGGGCCAGAACGTTCCAGTATTGGTTTTCATCCATGGAGGCGCTTTCATGGGCGGCAGTCAATCAATCCAGCTATCTGGACGCGAAGTCTATGATGCTACCAGCCTAGTAAGGGCAAGTCTCGCTCGGGAACGGCCAGTCGTGGTTGTCACTATCAACTACCGTGTGGGACTTCTTGGATTCCTTACTTCGGAAAAGCTGGCTGAGAGGAGTCGTGCTCATGGTGAGGCAGTTGGCAACTACGGACTTCATGACCAGAGACAGGCGCTGGAATGGGTCTCCCGTTTCATCGCCGGGTTCGGAGGTGCATCCAACCGAGTCACAATTCATGGAACTAGCGCGGGCGGTGCCTCATGCCATTACCAGGCCAACTTCCCTAATCGCAAGTTCCAGAGCGCCATTCTGTCCAGTGGAACATCTGTCGGTATCGCGTCGCGGCCTATGAAATGGCATCAGGAGCGCTTCGACTATGTGCTATCTCAAATACCAACCCTGCAAGCGGATGACTCGCGTCTACTTGATTCATTGGTGGATCTTCCTCTGGATCAGCTTTTGCCAGCATCACCGCCATCACTCTACAGCCCACTCGTTGATGGTGAATGGGTTCCTGAGGCAGGTCTCAAACCGACCCTCGAAAGGTTGGGCAAGGCTGGCGAAACCCTACCGAACTTGATGATTGGCGCAACGGAGTATGAGCGAGATCTTACATTGATGCTATTGTCTGATCTGTCAAAACCTCTGCCGCCTCCGCCTCGACCAGAGGCAGAGATACTCCCCATTGCGCAGGAGGTACTTGCAGGTAGCGCCATGACTCCTCAATTGAGCTCTGTCGACAGTCCTTTCTGTGTCCCTGAAGTTGCCCAAGCGTATAATCTGAGGCGAGAAAAGTCTTGCGTAGACTCTTTTGAGGACCTCGCAGGCCTGATGGCGGATGTGGCATTCCGTACTCCACCAATGTATTCGGCAGCGGTCATCAAGAAGCATCAGATTGCGCACGGCCATACCGCTGATGCGGCACACGTGCTTCTCTACGAGATCCAAGCTACAAACCCATACAAGAATTGGCCACTTGGCTATAAGAGAGCTAATCATGGTATCAATGACATTTTCCTCTTCAACCCAGCAGAGGACCAGGTCCCAGCCGAACACCTTGAGAGCTGGGTGTCTACCGTGGGCCAGATCCGAGCCGCATGGCTTGACTTTTGCTATGGAAAGATGCCCTGGACACCGTTTCAGTGGTCGGAGGATATTAATTCATTAGGGGGTATTTACGTGTTCCCAGATGGTGGGGAGGGCCGATTATGCAACAAGTTGGATGAGGTTGATGGAACAGCTACAGCTACACGATGGCAGGTACTTTTGAAGACTGCTTTTGAGTACATTTAGATAGATCTACATGTAATTCAGTTGATATACTGGGTTGACCATTTATATGCGTGAAGCGTTCTCCCCTTAACTTTAACGCAGTAAGATAATGACTATTTATCTCAGAGACTGTGAAAAGAATCCCAGGTGTTCAATATAGTCTTCTGACCAGATAGCTAAATTAATTCCAGCATTATATCTGCAGTGCTTCATGCCAAGTCGTCAGCGAGCTTGCACATTGGAGCCTATATATAATGAGGCAGATAACTGAAAGATAGAGTTCATCTGACCGATAGTAGAGAGACAGTGGAAATAGTACATAACATCTTAGTTAGCTGTGATCTGTATCAGAGGAATCTTATATCCCGTATAACCCTGGCCATCCATAAAACAGCGTGATAAGTCATACCCTGGGTAGACCATTATCAAACGCTGCTTGCATGTCCAAAAATCAGCAATCTGGTTGCTGCCGAACTTGCACTGCAGATATTGATATCCCGCCCCATCTGCGGCCTTACAAACCAATGGCGGCGCACCCTTGCCCTGGATCATGACAGAGCCATAAGGGTTTCCACTCCCGGGGTAGAAATTGTACGAAGCAGACTGGCCAGCCGCACCGCCTGGTCCGTTGACCGCTTTCACTTCGCCAGTTCCCTTATGTATTGTAAATAACTGAGTGGTTGTGGGATCAGCTTTCAAGTCCACGTAGAAGTTGGTGGTGCTGCCTTGGTTGGACTCAAGGACTGAAAAGCCTAGCCCGCCTGAAACTGCTAGACTGGGATCGGTGCTTCCGATTGCAAGCAGCCGGACTGTCTGGAGCGGCTCGGCCGTTTCGGTCTTTGTGGTGAAGTCGGTGACGGTCTTGGTAGCGATAGTGACATCGTCAGTGACGACATCCACAGTCTTGGTGACTTCTTCGGTGCTGTAAGTCTTGAAGACGACGGTGGTCTTCACCGTCTGGGTGACCCAGGTGGTGCTGACAGTCGTCCTGGAGGTGCTGGCACGTGGGATCTTGACGTGGACGATCCTAGACACGACAGTCACGCGAGGAGCGTTGACTGTCTTGGCGGTGACACCGATGCGGGAGCAAGCCGACGAGTACTGGGCGGAGTTGGTGCATATGTTGTCAAGATATCCTGGGATGCGAGGGACAGAGCGTTTATGCTTAAAAGGCGGGTTGGGGTCGGCACCTTGGGCTGTGATCGTCGTTACGGCCTCCTGGGTGACGAACTCGGTGTGCTCCACGGTCCGTGTCACGACGATGTTGTCTGTGATGGTCTGCACGACGGAGCTGACGCTGGTAGCGACGGCGGATGAGGTGCTGGTGACGGTGATTGACTTTGTAACGGTCGGGGTCTTCTTGGTGATTGTAGTTGTCTTGTAAATGGTGCTAGGTAATTTGCATTAGTCTTGCGGTATCTGACTCGAACGAGGATATCTCACGTCTTCTTGGGAGTCACTGTAGTGAGAAGAAACGACTTGCAGTCAGAGGTACGCTGCTTATTGTTGGGCTGCGCAACAGCTGTCATAGAGATTTGTTAGCCAATGGCGCGACTTCGCTAATAGATCAACATACCATTATAACAAACATCAGGGCTCCGAATGAATGGGTTCCAAAAAGCAGCGTCAACACCTGCGACGATCATGCCCAACGGCACGAGTGTTCCGAACAACTTCATATTTGCAAACTCGATCCTTGGCCGAGAAAAAGTAGTTGGCGAAAGGTGACAAGAACGATGGTACCACAGCGCAACGAGTCATTAAATAGCATCAGCTGCTGTCTCCCCTGTACATCGTGGCTGCCGCTGAGCTGGTCAATTTTGAAGCTATTGATCACCCTTTTGGACCTACTGAATTTGCTTCGGGGTTCTCGTGGTCTAGATCGACTCCATGCCCAATCACGTCGCGGTGATAGACGAGGATATCCACCCGAAACGCGCTATTGCACGTAGCGCTACAGGGATACTCGGCGTCCTTCAGGGATGCACAAATGAGATAAAAGGCCTAGACCGACCAGCTGTCAACAATCATGTCTCTTGGGTCAGCTGAGATTTTCATTGACGAGGGGGTCACTTAACCTATATCGGCGAGATGTTCATTTCCTAGACATAGAAGCGCACAAGCTGTGAATTTTACCAACTGCAGCCTCGAAATAAACGATGATTCAAAGTCTAGGAATTAGTATTTTTATTATATTTACTTATTTATTGCGCTCGCGTATCAACCACGCTAAGTAGTCAATATCTCGAGATATCAGGACGATGAACCGTTTACTATCGACACCTCCTACGGCTCACAAGGCAGATATCCATGATTACACGAGATAAACTGTATTAAGCATGGTGAGCCTTTTTAGTCTTATCGTAGACGAGTTTATTCTACTTGTGATACTATTTGTCTCTTTCTAATCCAATCTAAATTGAATATGTGAGAAACCGTGTGAGTTCAGATGTCCAGCTGCGTACAGGGTCATCAAGCGCCAATCCGAGACCATGTGGACCATCTGATAAAATCAAAACCTGAGCTTTTCTCTTATGGGCTGCCATGGCTTCGGCAAACATGAGAGTGTTTTGCACTGGAACGGCTTGATCGTTGAAGGTATGGAACAAAAATGTTGGGGGCGTTGTGTCAGAGACCAGGTTTTGTGCTGATAGATCGTGCAGCTCTTCGGCCGTCGCGTTAGGCCCGATGAGATTGTTGCGAGAACCGACATGCGTATAGTTGCCTCCCAAAGTAATCACAGGATACGCGAGAATGCCAAAGTCCAGGCCGGCCTTGGGGTTGGTGAGGGTTGTGGATGCAAGGTGACCGCCTGCTGAGAAGCCCCAAATGCCCAGCTTACGTATTCCAGGGTTATGATGACGAATTTGCTTAATAGCAGCGAAGACTTCATTCTGAGGCTTCGGATAAATAGGCGCAGTGGCATTAGATGTTGTAGTATAGTCGAGAACCCATGCATCAATGTTAAGCTTGTTGAGGTATGCCGCTGGATTGTAACCTTCCTTGGCAATAGATACATGGCTATAACCACCACCAGGGCAAATCAGAACACCAGTGCCTGTGGAATTAGCCGCTAGGAAAGCTGTAAGCTTTGCGATGTCGAGTCTGTCGAGTTGGTGAGCTTCAATGATTATTACAAGATGGAGGACTAGGGTAAGTGCTTAACTAACTTCATAGTGTTTCTGTCTGAGATAAAATCGACTGTAAATATGAAGTTTAACAGACTGCCTGAAAATCATCTATTAACTGCAGAACACGTCAAGATATGTGTCCTATCATCTGCAGATCACTTTGGGGGCAGGACGCCCTTGGGGTTCTGTTCTCATTTACCCCGCGATGTCGAAATTCAAATTACCTAGAACCCTTGTAACAAGCTTGACTTCTATTCGTCCGGCTAAGCTTTTAAAGTATATACCATTCAATTGCATAAGTCCACGAATAAAAGATAATGACTCATGGTAATCTTTGGACAATTGGAGGAAAATTGTGGGGTAAAGACTCCCTCTATTAACCAAAATTATCAGCTCATAGCTGGCCCTTCACTGAGTAGAATCTTTAACCCGCGATTTAATAATCGAGTTTTTATTCAGTTCTAGGCCAAGTTTCCAGTAATCGAAGCATTGAATGAGTAGCTTGGAGAAACGTGTATTGGAAATGAGATGATTTAGCGCTCTTGACAGGGTTTATTCCACATCACTGTTAACCATTATACGGTCCGTATGCAGTGCCAGGAGTCCCTCCCAAAGGCATCCATTTCATCGAGAGGTTGTTATGAACTTTGGTCACAATGGGACCCCTATTCAGGATACGTGGCAAACAGAAATATGCGCAACTTGGATCGAAAGATAACAGTATTCTATAACTATATGCAAGCCAGGATGCGTCTCTGTAGACTGAAACGAATATAGACAATGAATAAAAGACCCATGATCGACATCCCACCCGCATAATACGCTGCAGGCCTAAATACCGAAAGACTGTTATTACTACTGTCTGCAAGCGAGTAGATTCCCGAAGCAATAGGTGTACCCTGAGATTCTGGTCAGTAAGGAGTGTTAGTAGGACATATATGTGTGACATACGAAGAAGAATCCACAAAACCAAGTAGTCCAAACAATAGGCAAGATGCCAAGAGTATTCTCTGGCCCCATTGTGGCTCCGAGCATGGGAGGAACCAGACTAAAGAACGCTCCACAGCCAATGCCGTTGAATACGAGGAAGATAGAGAAGATTCCAACCGAAGACGCTAATGGCCACACGACGAGTGAGCTGAGACCAATAAAGAGAAGGCAGACAATCAAGCTGTTCAAAGGGCCAAGCAAGTGGTCTGCAGTATAGCCCCCTAGAACCCGGCCGACGGTGGAAGCCAAGTTCCAAGCCGCCAGTATGATAATCGCAATCTGTTGAGAGTAACCCATGGATCGAGTGAAGATAGGAATAAAGTATGGTGGAATAAACAAGGGAAAGCATGACAAAGCTGTCCCAGCGATAATAAGGAGGAACCGAGGCTCCCGAAAGCGATGCCTAATCACACAATCAACAGGCTATTGAGACAACAAGGTAACAGGGAGATACTCACCACTGAAGCTTCAAGCCGGCACTCATGGATCCCTCAGGCTGTTGAATGAAGTATGAAGCTGGAATACAGACTCCCCAGAGCATGAAGCCTAAAATGCGGAATGTCCACGCGACATCGACTTGTTTCACGAGAAGATTCGTCGCAATGCTCATGACAGCTGCACCAAGGCTGCCTCCTCCAAACACGATACCCATAGCCAGGCCGCGGTGTCTCTTGAACCACCTTAGGGGAGCAGTCGAGCATGCCTGGCAATATTAGTAAAATCTCAGATGCTCTTTCAGCTCAAACTTACAAAGATGGATAGTCCCCCTCCGATGCCAAATATTACACCGTGGAAGACAAAGAGAGCCCCGACATGCTTTGTTGTCCAACTTGCAAGGAATTCACCTAGACCCATCAAGACGCCACCAGCTAGAGCAGTCTTCTGGTAGCCAAGCTTTCGAACTGCGATACCAGAGAGGATACTGAGTGATATCATGAATGATGTTGCAAGTGATCCAACAAATGTCAAGGTTGTGAGGTTTGTTCCAGTCACTTCGACAAGTCTGACCTGCATAATGCCCCATGAGTAGATCACCCCGAGGTAAACGAAAAGAGAACATGCTGCGGCTGCCACAGCTATCCATCCTTTTGGATTATCGAACTCGACCGCCGGTGGTGTTGGAGTGAGTGACTCGCTGTCGGGTTGTGAGATGTCGGTATCGTTGCCTTTCTCGTTGTCCGACGAGTTCGATGAGCATGGCCAGTCGGAACTTGAGTTGTCTATCTGTGCTGACATGTTTGAATCTCAGTACACAAGCAGTAATCGAGAGAAACAATGATGTGATTTATGTTTGTAAAGTTAACGTTGTTATTGTTCGAGAAAGTTCTCTAGTTAAATATCTGATCTAGCATCTGACCTCGGTTCTCACAAGAGCGAAACCGACGACGAGAACCGACGCCCTGAACCTGTCAACCCATCTCAGTGGGTCACAGCGTATGATACTGTTTGTCATGAGAATTCCATGACACAGCGACGGGCCGGAATCAGTCGGCTCGTCGGTGTTCGGCTGAAAATCTGTCTTTCCCGAGTTCCGACACATATCATCGGTTTTCGGGTTTGACGTTTTATAAATTGACCAGAGGAATTCTTTAAGTGTATTAAAAATCAATCTCTGCAAAAAGAAAAGACTATCCGCTTCAGTCATTCAATCTATAGCATTGCACCTTTTCTCTGCCTCAATTCTCTATTAATCGACATGGCGCCTTCAACGATTGAGGACTTTGCTGAAGTCCCCACCTTCCAATCATCCATGCCCGTCAAACCCATGCATCAAGAAGGATATTTAATGCATAGATCTCTTGTCCAACATCCTTACATGGTCGAGTCCGCGAGTGGAGTTGAGCTCAAGTTATCGAGCGGCCAAACAATTATCGATGGTTGTGCCGGCGCAGCTGTTGCTCTCATCGGCCACGGCAATGAGGTGGTTATTCAAGCCATTACCGACCAAGCTCGGAAAGTCAGCTACGTTCACACACAATCCTACACAACGGCACCAGCTGAAGAGCTTGCCAATGTTATACTGGAGGGTAATCCATATGGCCTTGAAAAAGCTTTCTTTGTTGGCAGTGGCAGTGAAGCTGTTGAGTCTGCTCTGAAGCTGGCTCGCCAATACCATTATGAGAAGGGAGAGCTTGACAGAGTGCACATTGTCTCTAGACGCCAATGCTATCATGGAAACACGATGGCTACCATGTCTATCTCGACTAACAAAGCTCGCCGAGCTCCGTACCACGGCTTCCTTTACCCTCATGTCTCTCACGTCTCGCCTGCTTTCGCTTATCACTACAAAGACGACTCCGAGACTGAAGAGCAGTTTACAGCGAGGCTTCTGGTTGAACTTGAGGAAGAGTTTCTACGAGTTGGTCCCAAGAATGTCGCCGCTTTCATCGCGGAAACAGTCGTTGGCGCGACGACAGGTTGTGTTGCTGCCCCGGCCGGCTATTTCAAGGGAGTCAGAGCCATCTGCGACAAGTACGGAGTGATCATGATTCTTGATGAGATTATGTGCGGCGTTGGCCGAACAGGCACGTTTTTTGCTTTTGAGCAAGAGGGAGTTGTACCTGACATCACCACGATCGCGAAAGGTCTTGGTGGCGGTTATGCTGCCATTGCTGGTGTTCTCATTCATAAAAAGGTCGTTGATGTCCTCAGACATGGCTCGGCAGCTTTCAACCACGGACATACGTATCAAGCTCATCCTATTTCATGCGCTGCGGCATTGGCGGTACAGACAGTCCTAAGACGCGAGAACCTGGTTGAACGATGTCACAAGATGGGCCTTGTCTTGGAGAGGCTACTTCGACATGAGCTAAAGGTTTGCAAGTCAGTTGGTGATATCCGAGGTCGAGGTCTTTTCTGGGGCGTTGAGTTTGTCAAAGACCTGACATCCAAGCGGCCTTTTGATCCTTCGGCTAAGTTTGGTCTGTTGGTGCAGCAAATCGCTTTTGAGAAGGGCGTTGCGTTGTATCCAGGCGGTGCTACGATTGACGGTGTTAATGGTGATCATATTCTGCTTGCGCCACCATTCACAATCACCGAAGATCAATTGGCCACTATTTGTCGGGTATTAAAGGAGGCAGTAGTAGAAGCCGAAACAATGATGCTCTCTCCATAGGTAAGACTTATCCTGAATTGCCTATTTAGAGATGCGATGTCAAAAGTATATTAGACTATGCATTTTATAGAATTAATACACCTTGTTACCAGTTTTATGGCTTATGAAATATCTTTCGTCCTGCATCTTGCGCTTCTCATGAATACATATGGCCCTTTAGACACTTACGCAGCTTTCCACATTTGAAAACTGACCATTTTAATAGCACCGCTTCTCTATATATTCCTAAAGTCTCATTATGAGGGTACCTACAAATCGTCGAAGTCACGGGCATAAAGTGAACTGCATATTGTATAAATATAAATAAACATAGATTCGGATGGACATAACTAAGCTATAAGACCCACTTGGGCATATTACGATTGCAAGACTTGATGCCCTGCAACACCAGGATATTAGAAGGTGTGAAGGTAGTCACCAATGTAGGAGCCACCAAGCTTCGAGACCTGCTCAGCAATCTCCCCCGCACCAAAAGATCTAGCCAAGTTCTTGGCAGCCTCTGTGAGCTTGCCTTGAATAGTGACAATCATAAACCGGTGCTTTGAAGGTCAGCAAGAGTTCAGTGGGTAATCGCATGGTGTACGTACCTGGTAAGGCTTGTTGTCCTTATCGTGGAGAGCAACCCAGCGGCCATCTCCATTCTTGTTCTTCTGACCATACTGGAAGCGATCGGTGATGCTCACGATCCAGGAGTCTAATGCAGATCTCAGTAATTGTTCAACTAGTTGTCTTTGATTACTTACTGCCCTCCTGTCGAGCACCAGGAAGCTTTCCAATGTACTCATTACTGTTGGAATCCTTGTAGTAGCGGTCCTGAATGTACATCAAAACATTGGTATTGCCCTTGGATTGGTTCTGGGCGTTGACGATATAGTAACGAGCGGTGCGAGTGCGGAATGACTGGGACCATGAGATCTCTACGGCGTTCTGCTCAGCCTCCGCAGTGTAGGCAGGCACAGAGAGAAGATCTCCTTGAGTAGGGAAAGACATGATTGAGAAAGTCGGTTTGATGTTTTTGGATATAAGAGGTTATGATAAAATGGTAATTGATAGGCCTGTAGTAGTGATGAAAATATTGGAAGACGTGGAAGGTTCTGTAGTTTAAATACTCGAATTTCCTCTGTTGAAAAACTAGTCCCAACTCTCATTGCAATACTATTTATCACAGGCGGAGCTGAAAAGAAGCTCTAGATTCATGGTAACCTGTGATCGCCACTGATTCAGAAGAGCACTGATCAATAGTGTCTTTAATTCACGAGCTATTGGGGATCGACAAACGCTACGAAGCACTCACAGATAATCTGAAAGTCCGTGCTTTTGTGCATTCGCCCACCAATGAAGGCTGTCAAAACTGGGCTGTGGGCAAGTTTAACGCGCGACTTGATAATCTGTGATAGGCCTTTCCCAAACATCGGACCATATCCTCCCTTGACTCCGCTGTTTTTAACTGTCATGTACCCTTCTGGAACAACGAGGCTAGCTGAGCTGCACAGCTCGCCACAAGCAATCGGGGCGCTATCTAACAAGTGGTCTGGGCCCATGCCTGTCTCGGCCTGCCCTAACCCGTCTGAAGCCACACCGTGAAGGAATTGGTTATGGCTTGCCTGGGCAATTGAACTATTAACATTGACTGAGATGAAACCAGATATCACACGTCTCATGCAGCCATGACGGTTGTTCACGTCACAGTAGGATTCTCGCGTATGCGGGGGCTCTACTATTTGGGTGTTGAGACTTGGCCGAATTTAATTTCAGGTATCGTGGATGGATATCTGCGACCGATGGCTGTGGCTGGATGTTAAGTGGTCTTCGTTGCTTCTTTTGAACTAACTCGTCCTCGATCTGCGCGACTCAGAGACAAGGTTCCCTCTAAAGAAATTTCACTCTCGGTCGTGATCACGAGCATGTCCGTGAGTCGATGATTTCTTGAACAACTTCTGAACAAGGCTGGCTGCAATGAGACATGCTGCAATGATGGCGTGAACCCTAGGAAAGGAATCACAACACCAATACGCTTCTGTAAAGAGTGCCACCCAAACGACCAGGTCGCAGAATCTCAAAATGATTACATTTCGCGTTCGGGCTAGCTGGTATAATAGTCCTGAATCAGAACGCTTATACCATGAAGTTGCGTTTAAGCTAAGAGGTAATAATAATTGTTTATATCTTCTTAGAAATTAAGATTTATAAAGATTTAATCATTATGTAGATATATATCCAACGCCCTCAGAACATATACTTAGGGTATATATAATCACTCGGCATGTTTCCCTATCTAATGCAACCATTATCATAGACATGCATTCCTCGGCTATTACATTCCAAGGTGAAGGTGTATACAACCCTTCTTTGCCTGCTGTACTAGATTGGCATCAAGACTCTGTCGGAATTAAACATACTATCAAGAAGTGTTACACAAAATAACACATGGGACGGCAAAGCCTTGTGACATGGGTTAGTGGCGGTTGTGAAATCAAAGGCTCCGTCGACAAGTACAGGCAGGTAGGTATGTGGCAACGGAAATCCTATCCCTTTTTGGTGACTTTCAGCTCTCTCCAAAAGTGCATCAACATGGATTTGGCATACCAAAGCCAAGCCAAGTCGAAGATGACTTTTTCAGTAATGAAAAAGTCTAGCAGGCCTAGCTAAGGTGACCTGGGCCCCCGCATCTGCAAGCTTTCGATAGCCGCTTGCGTTTTCGTTCAATATCACATAGCCTCGTATCATTGAATCAATATGTGACACAAGCTGCATGAATATCGAGTAGCAGGCTGAAACATTCTCCACCACCTTGAAGAGAAAATACCAGTATGACCACGTCTAGATCTCATGAACTGCCCATTATGGATAGTTGACTGGATTCGGCGCTGCTGAAGAGAAGAAACCTCGGGAATGAATACTGAAAAGGGACAGGAGGGTTGAAAGGAGGGTTAACAGAAATTAACCGGTGAAGAAAGGGTTGCTGTGAAATGGAATCATGTTTGTGGTCATATCCGATTCTAAGAGATAGAAGAAACACCTTCACGAACCGAGATCTAAAGTATAAGATCTCAACTGTTTCCCTCTCAACCGTTCAGTATCACTCATCTTCGCTCATCACCTCTCTCACTAGAGTCTTATCACTTAATATTCTCGTCTTGCCACACTTTGTACTATGTGCTCGACCTGCAACGTGTCCAGCCGCCCGGCTGCATGGACCCTCGACCAGCCAACCACTTCTTCAGAGGCTGAAGTCGCAGTCAACTCATGCGAGTTTCAGTCATCCGAATTCAACGCTACTGGGTTAGCTGCCGCTGATTGGTCCTCCACTGGCTTCCAGAGGGTCTCTGAGTCCTTCGTTGAGGAGAATGGACTGGCTCTTCCTGACACTAACATCTCTTCCGGCGCGGGAATGGTTCGCTGTAAGTGCTCGTGGGAAGACTCTTGAATTAGACTACTAATACTCCCTGTTTGCAGCCATTGTCAAGATCGAAGCGCGTTTCGCCAACAAATTGACTGGCGACTCCATCTGGAAGATCAGCACCGGACTCCTCGTCAGCCCCGACCTCGTTGTCGCTGGAAGCGAGGCCGTCTACGATGCTGAGTATCAGCTTGGTGCAGCTACGCAAGTCAAATGCTATATTGGATATCGTGGACGTGGGTCTTCTGACATCCAGCCCCGATATGGTCAGCGTGTCGTTTTCTCTGCCGACTGGACTGAGATTTCTGAAAGGCGCTCGCGAGATATTGCTTTCATTCAGGTTGTTCAACCTTTCACTTTGAGTGTGAAAAATGCCCCCGTTCAAGGTATGTCAGACCAGATTGCTTTCCCTTCTTCATTCGCTGACGAATTGGCATCTACAAAAGAACCCGTCGAACAGGCCCCCATCAACGTCACTGTTTGCACGAACTGCAGCTCCCACGAGGCACCCGTCCCTGAGGCCGTCGCTCCACCTGAGCCTGAGCCCGAGGTCACACAGACTGATGCTCCTGCTCCCGCTTTTGTCGAGCCCGCAGTCGAGGAGCCTGAGCTCGAGATTCCTGCCCCAGCAGCTGAACCAATCCCCGAAGCTGTCCCCGAAAGCGACTACGTTGATATCGAGATTGATAACACGCCGGATACTTCCGTTTCCGAGGAGGTTGATCCCTTCTACCAGACCCTCAAGACTGTCTCACAAGTCGACACCAAGACCCTCGACATCGAATCTTCACTGATCGATGATGTCGGCCAGTTTGTCAGTGTCGCTGCTGGATCTCTTGTCGGCCACGTCGTTGGGGCAGAGACTCTCTCTAGCGGCAAGGCAACCAAGCTCTCTGGTATCTCTGAGCGTGCGCTCCTCGCCGAAGCATCCCTCCAGGCTGTATTCGCCGTCGAGCAATCTAACGAGCTTGATGAGATCATCGCAGTGATGAAAGAGAATTGGACCACCAATGCTCCCCAAGCCGAGCAGCTTTCTGAGCTTCTTGCACCTTACCTGGCCGAGGCTGCTCGATGTATCATTGAGTACCATCAAGAAGACGAGGCTGGGAATGTCACTGCAGCCAAGACCCCGAAGCGCCGAAACCTTGGCATTCGACAATTCCCCACCAGCGAGGCAACCAAGGGGTTTGTCAAGGGTATCTTCGAACCCACTCTTCCTCTAGCAGGTCGTGAGGATGTGTTCTCCTCTCTTGGTCCTGTCCTTCGCAGTGCTGTTTCTGCTGTCGAACAAATCGTATGCCAAGCTGGAAATACTGCTGTGGATGTGATCACGCCCAAGCTTCTCACGAAGTACCAGGGAACTGCTCCATCAGCTAGCGACATTGAGGCTACTCGTGTTCTCGTTCAACGCGCCATCATGGCAGATGCCGCTTACCAGGCCCTTTCTACCTTTCCTCGAGAGAAGCTCCAAGTCCTGAAACTCATCCCTCTTGATGCTGAGCTTCCTCAGGCCGACAACATTTTTGACTTCATCAAGAATGTCATTCAGAAGATTGGCCCTGTTTGTCTTCATGATGCCAAGCAGGCTGTGCACAAGTTTGTTCCTCTCCTCGTCGATACTCATGCCAAGGCTCCCCAGCCTGTTTTCGCTGTTCCTGCAAAGGCTGCAAGCAGCAAGTTTGCGCTTCGAGACTTTCTCAGCAACAAGAAGGGTTCTGTCAAGACATTCTGAACATGTTACTACGAACGAGATGTTGCTTGGTTATGCTTTTATGTGTTTGGATTCAGGGTTGGAGGATAAACTAAGGGAAGACAACCCAACGAAAAAATAACGAGTCGACATGAAGTTGGACAGGTGCTCTAGAGGAAAGTTGAGGATTGAGCTTGCTCACCATCGGAACCGGCCGCAACCGGAAGTTTCCTTTTGTCTTTGTGTTTATTGATCTTCTTTTGCGATTATATACTTAGTTTTACTCTCTGTTCAATTCAAACCATCAGCTGTTGCCATATTGTATCCAAGTAGTTCTGAACATCTAACGTTGGCGGGATTATTGTACATGGCAATCTCCGTGTTTTGTTGTTATAGGGTAAGACTAGACTCATCAGTTAAATTGGGCACGATCCATTGTCATTGTCTCCATTAACTGGGCCTGTCACGTATTCCTGTCACGCTTATATCCGCGCATGGGAATATCCTCTCCACTCCGGGGGGAGCAATTAAACCATTAGGTCAGTTGAATTTAATAATAAATCATTAGGTAACATGCCACAGCAAGCTATAGAGCTTATGTCATTTAGTTCGGTTAATCTGAAAGTCTAAACCCTGATAGATTCTTTGTATGTTAAAATAAAAAGAAAAGGAAAAGGCCTTGTATCTCTATGCCGGTATGCACGGTTTGCTGTAGAAGGGATATAGGATTGTATAAGCTAATAAAATTAGGGATCAATATGGTTGCTCTATTTATCCCACGTTTAAACATTCCACATAAAAAGCCCTTGCCATCTGACGTGTCCTTAGGTAAAGCAATATAACTGTTTTACCAGAGCTACTATTTTTAAAAGAACTAGCACAGCCCTCTACCAAGGCTATCTTCTCCATCCACCTTATCGCATATATCACCTATGCCTTGGTAACAACTTCTCTTGGAAACAGCGACGCATATACCTCCGTCTACAGCTTGAGCACCAGCTTCCGAACATACCCTGTCACCTTTTTAATGGAGCCTGTACTAAAGTCATGGCTAAGCGGGCTCTAGGGTCCCATTATGATAAAGTAATTAGGCATCTTATCCACTATCACGCTCCGGTAGGTAGTTAGAAGCTCTTTTATCTATACTGCCCAAAGATCACGGCTGTCTAAGCCAACGATAGAAAATCTAGATATGAAGCTTATGTTAAAGCCTGTTGCATAGATAATAGTATCAGAGTTGAGCTGCCTTCCTGACGCTGTCCTTAAACCCGGTTTCTCAAAAGAGTTGATCTTGCCCCAGATAATCTCGACTTTAGGAGAGTATAGTGCTTTAAGAAAGCCATTGCCTGGCTTAGGTCTTTGGCACCTATGCTGGATTAGCATAGCCATGCCTATAATATTATACTCCAATCTTAACCAACAAGGAAGTCCAGAATCAGGTCATTGGCAAGCTCTGGCTTTGCAGCTAACTTGGCTATTATCTGCTGTTTGGTGGCTTCTCTACCGATTTTCTGCGTTTTGGAATCCTTAAGATGGAAGCGGAACTAAGCGTTTAGCTCATTTTTTATATCCTTTTAATATGCATAATATGCTTCGGGATCCTTGGACCAAGTTTCATTTTCATTATCGCTATAGAACTTGTTTATACTATTCTTACTAGCAAAGCGGTTTGCAAGGGCCGGCGTGACCCAGGTTTTACTGCATAGTATAATATAAATCTTATGCGCTTTATCAAGGATAGCTAGCAGGATCTAAGTGCCGGAACTTCCACTTCCGATAAGCGTGACTGTGCGGCCTATTACATAATCGGCATCGGGCCATAAGGCTGAGTGCATTATGTTTCCTCTGTATATCTCGCGATTAGGGATTGCGCCGCTAGCGTTAATAAAGATATCACACTCTTCGATAAAGGGTTCGCCCTATTCACCATCCTTTATCTTGCTATCAGAGACTTCGAGCTCTTGGTCATCTGTCTAAACAATCTGGATTTGCTATTTTTTATGCTTCTTAATCTACTTTGCGCCAATTATCTTGTGTCTAAGCTTGATATACTATCCAAGATGATGCTGCTCGGTAATTTCCTTTAGATACTTGTAAATGTCCTGGCTACCTATGTAGAGACTTGCAAATAGGTATTTAGGGCCCAAGTGAACTAGAGCTGGTTATTACTATTCGTGTAATGTTCATTGTACTGGCCGCCATACCTGATAGTTATGGATATCTCTCAAATAAACTCTAGTTAGGTTAAGTTCCACTTTAGGAATAGTGCGAAAACACTGTAAAAGTCCGGGAAATTCCGTGCTAGCTATTAGCTAATATTAACTTAACGGTTTAAGGCTGAAAAATAAAAAGGGGAGGCGCAGTAATAGCTTAATTTCTAAAATTCTTCTACTATCCCTATGAAATATACACATTATCATTGCAGTTTGTTTTTACCTTATTTACTTATAAATAAAAGAAGGTCCCATAAGGCAGAAATTGCATATGATATTTATACAACCTTACCGCCTGTTCAAATGGACCCACGGTACCTCTCCGCCGAATCCTTGAGCCAAAAAAGCCCGTTCGTGGCCCAGGCCACTCTGAATCTGCAATCGCCTGCTGGTGCTGCGAGCTCTTTGCCTGCTATGTTGCAATCTCTGGAGCCTTGGGTAGCTGCTAGCACTCGCCGTAACCTTCCTTCGGTTCCAGCTGCTTGTCTTGTTTGCGTGAGTTCTACATACTGTCCCTACACCGCCTGTTTCTGATAGAGGTTTCATTGCCTCGTCTTGACGATGATGCTCAAAAAGAACTGAATGCTAATATTGGTCTTGCGCCCAGCGCAGAAGGCACCTTAAATGCGATGGACAACGCCCTTGTTCCCGCTGTAGAACTGCTAATCTTGATTGCGTCTATGCCGCTTCCCGCCGCGGATATAACGGCCGTAAACGCACAGCTACTCAATCCTCTAGTCATCGTGCAGCACCAAAGACCCTTGTCCCTATTGTTGACCGCACAGCCACGGTAGTCGGTTCTGCTCCCGCGGCGCCTGCGCTGGAATTCCCTTCTGTCTTTGATCCCACCATGTTTTTCGGTAATGTCGCAAGTCACTCGAGCGTTGACACAAGCTTCCCAATTGCCGCGTTCTCTCAAACTATTGCGTCAACTAGTTTGCCTGCCTTTTCTTCTCAGACTCTGTTTGGTGGCACTGGCAACGAAGTACCTCGGGCACTTCCTCTGAGAGAACGTTACATCGAGTCGTTTTATCTAAATTTCTACGCCGCTCATCCCTTTATACCGCCAAAGGATCTTCTTCTCATCTTAGCACAGCGGACCTCCCTGGAGCCCCTGCTTGCAGCTATGCGTTGGATTGGTTCTCTATACATCGAGCAAGACAGCTCTCGCAGCCTTTTAACAGATGCATCACGCCTAATAGATGGTACGCCTCTCAAAAACGGCTTCTTAGTGCAGGCTATGTTGCTTGTCATCATTGGACTTGACGGCAATCGTCAAGGAAAAAGGGCCAAAAAGCTCATGGCAAATGCCCGGGATATCTCGATTCAAATTAAATTAAACACGCATCCATTTGCAGCCACCAATGGACAAGGAATTCCGATACTTGAGGAGAGCTGGCGGAGGACATGGTGGGAGCTTTACATTGTGGATGCCCTTATGTCGGGTGTGCATCAAACCAACATCTTTATTCTGTATGATGTACCTACGGATGTCGGTCTGCCTTGTGAGGAGTACCAATATCTCACAGGGGTAAGTCGCGTTATAAGTTCTGGTATCTACTGTATGTTTACAAGACCTAGCAAATACCTCCCCCCATTCACCCATACGATACGGAAAACTTGGGACTGTTTGATGGCAGGCCGTTTTCATCGTATACCTATCGGATCCAATGTGCCTGCCTCTTGGGTACCCTTCAAAAAATGCCAACACAGGTCGACCATGTCGACAGGCTCCTCGCCAACTGGATGCTCCGCTTACCTCCTTCAAAATATGACGCTTATTGCAAAGGCGAGTTAGATGAGATGATGTTCCAGGCCATTATGATGTGGCAGGCTATTTCTATTCTCTTACACCAGCCTCATTCACAACTGGATCCATCTTTGACTTATAATATTAAGGCCTGCGTCCCCAACACGCCAGCTGTGTCCAGCGATGCCTTGAATTCGCATACGAAACATACGATTCGGGCTGCGAGGGAACTTAGCAAGTTGATCAGCCAACGCGTTCCTCTCCTCAAACACACTCATTTCTTTGCTTACATGGTGACACTCTCATCGACAATCCACCTCAGCAGATGGTCATTGACCTTTGTGGCCGAAGATGATGAGGATCTACGTCAAAATATGGGTCGAAATATTGGGGCACTTATAAAATATGCTGAGATGTGGCCTATGGCGCAACGTTTGGGACTGCAAGTAAAACAAATTGCAAAAAAGGTGTATACAACGAAGAAGCACCAGCAACAACAGCCTTCAAAATAGGTAGTCCTACTCCTATAAACGTAAATAGCTGATATTTATAGTTTTTAGATATAAATATATAATATATTAGTTGACTTATCTTAAAATAATTATAAAATTATTAGAATTTCTTAAATTATGTAATATAACTAAGTACTTAATAATATTAAACTCAATAGAAACAAAGAATTAGTTTAAGATACAAGGTTTACTAAGTGCTATGTAAAATGTTTACACTTAAAACTAATATAAATCCATCTTCAGACAAGAAACTATCTCGCTGCCCTTCCAGTTACTATTATCAAGCCGGTGCCCTTGTCGTCGTACTTTCCAGGAGCCCACTTGCCGCCTTTATTCCTCTTAGTGTTCTTCTAATCATACTTCTCGGAGGTCCACTTTCCATCATCATAACCAGTACAGTCACCCTCATACTTGCCAGGGCGCCAGCTGCCCTCATCACTGCGCTTACCATACTTCTCAGACGCCAACTTAGCATCTTCGAAGTTGGTACCCTGACTCTCGTATTTTCCAGGCTTCCAGGAGTCATCATCAATCGTGTCCACCTGGTCCTTTTTGGTCTCGGACTTGTCGCCGGGGTACTTGGTAGGTGTCCACTTGCCATCATTGTGGCCAGTACCCTTGCCTTCGTACCCACCAGGAACCCACTTGCCATTATCGGAGGGCTTCTCGGTAGGGAATGCTAGAGCCGTGACGGCAAAGGCGGCAAAGGCAAGAAGAGAATAGGTGTAGCGCATTATAAATAGTATAAGGGGAAGGTAAAGAAGCTCAAAGTTAAGGCAAGGCTTAAATTTGAAAGAACCAAAGATTAAAGGGCTGTTTGAGAGCTATGTTGGTTGTTGAAGTGTCGATGATGGTAGTTATAATAGACAGGAGAACAGGATATCATAACCTTTTTACCATGGAAGCTCTGACTTATGTGGGCTGAAGATGTTCAGTATAATCCCTCTCCTAAACCATCACTGACAAGGGTTGCAGATTCGCAGTTCCAGAAGCATCCTCGGCATCTATCCTCACCACCGTTTCCGTGAGGTGGTGAGATGATGACGGCTGATGTAATTTCCAGCCGTTTGGTAGTTCTGACCTCAATCATCGGTACTCATTTCATAATAGTGTAGCAAAAGCCTTCAGTTGCGGACAGGCAGCCCCAAATGAAGTCACGCCATCTAACCGAAAGCTGACACCAATAGGGGCACTGCAGAGCTTCGGCCAGCTTCACTAAGCGTCATAGGGAGACTTAAGCTGAAGTGGCTGTGCTTGAATAGCCTTCAGACGTTGCATGGGAAGCGCAACTTTTCTATCTTGATAATTGATGATGGCGAGTCCAGACCCTGTGCGAAGCCCCATACTAACCAATCAGAGACGTGGACATCGGGGAAGGCGACTGACCCGCTGACGTGAGCACCCAGGTCCGCTGACAGTAGCTGCCCAAGCTGAAACGTGCTGACGATTCAATTAGGACTTTGCAGTTGTTCAATCTCGAGTCATTGGCAATGCTGGTAAAATAGGAAGTTGGCAGTGCAGGATGGGCCTCAGGGGTTGGAAGAGAGGAAGGCATAAAAGATGCCCTAATGTACAAGTCAGAGAACTGTTCTCCCCTCACTCATCACCTCTCATTCTGCTTCTATTCAAGCTGCATAACCATGAAGATTCTGTTTTTTTCTCTTCTTTGGCCTGCTGTAGCCAGCGCTGCTGCCTGCAAGCCAACACCCCCTAAATCGAAAGCCGCTTGCAAGTTGGCCGCCATTGACAGCGTAGATATGAGTGTCGGCTTCGACTACAATGGGGACTGTGCCCCAAGCACCGGAACTCTCAAAAGCTTCATGATATTTGTTGACTTTTCTGATGCCGAAGCCGCCGAAGGCGAGACCCCCCAATCGCTCTACGACGCTATAATCCCCCAAACAACCGAATGGTACAGGCAGGCTTCTCATGGGGCTCTGTCCTTCAATGTTTCGGCCGATCTATCCAAGTTCTACCGCATGCCCTCATCTGCTGCATCATATGGATGGGAACGAGGTCTCACATGGGCAGAACATCAAGAATACATCCAGGATGCCCTCGACGCCTACACAGCCAAAGGCACTCGCCCTCCACCTCCTGAATCAGATGTCCTCTACGTTGTTCCCGTAAAGAGCGTCGGTGTTAGAGGAATCTCTCGGTCCATCACCTTCGTTACGCGAGCAAAGACTAGACAGGGTGATTATGTTGCCCGGAAGACCGTCACCGTTGGGACCGACGCATTTACAGCTTGGGGACCGAAAAGCTGGATTGTATTGGCTCACGAAACCGGACATACTATGTGTTTGGCCGATTTGTACCCGTTCGAGGATCTTGGCCTGGGTTACTACGTTGGTGGCTGGAGTGCCATGGGTGACGTCTCTGGCATTGGCCCCGATTTCTTCGCCTGGGACAAATGGCGACTGGGTTGGATTGACGACAAGTCTATCGACTGTATTTCGGAGCGAGGAACTACTCAGCACACTCTTACCCCACTAGAACTAAACACTTCTGACAATGCCGTCAAAGCTGTTGTCGTCGCCGTCAACCAAACCTCCGCACTTGTCGTAGAGGCCCGTATACCCGAGGGTCTTGATTCGGGCGTGTGCGCCCCCGGCGTATTACTCTACACAGTTGATACATCGGTCAAGTCAGGCTACGGCCCTATCCGTGTTGCAGATGTGACCCCAGAATCAGGTGGCTGCGGTAACGATAGCGTCTACGACAAGAATGATGGAACGTTGTCCCTGGTACAGGGTGGAGTGAGCGTATATAAGGTTCCTGGATGGGGAGTTCAGATTATTCTAGTAAAGCAGACAGAGAAGAGCTATACTATTAGAGTTGATGCTGAGTTGTAGGGTTTAGAATTGGAATTTAAGGACAAGAAAATTATTGCCTATTTTAATATAGGTAAAATTAAAGTTTTATTCTTTGTAAATAAATTATTATTTAAAGCAAATTTAAATAAAATACTTTAAGATATTAAATTATTATTCCTTTATATTAAAACTTTCCTTTAATATTATATTATTACTAAAGAACTACTAATATAATTCTAGAAGGTTATATTATATTTATCCTTAAGGAAACTATCTAATATATATTATAAGAGTTAAGTTTCCTACTATGGATAAACTAAGCAATGCTAAGTTTATTATAAGTAAAATAAAGTTAGTATATATAAAACCTAGTCTAGTTAGCCCGAACTTTTAATATAAGCTATCTAAATCTTATTTCTGAGTTTAAATGGTTTTTCAGATGTGGAGTTTAAGGTATAAGTTCAAAATGTAATAAATGCCTATGTTGGAGATATACTTATTATATACGCCAACCCTAGTTACTATCTTTTGAGATGATATTAATATTCTTTGAAAAAAGTATAAAGTTAAGGATGTATTAGAAATATATCCATAAATTCATCCATTGTTAGATACATACTCAGTTAAAAAGAAATAAACAGGAAATTGACTAGTAAAGTAACTCCGACCGCTCTCAACCAGGGCACCGAATCCCTAACAGCATCCGAAATCATCAGGTCTGGCTCGTAGGTATCGGGAACTGTCGAGTTCGTCGTGCCGTTCCAACAGTATCTCTGAAAACAGTCTACGCATTTAGATGGTACAGCTGTGCCTGTACGAACTAAGCTACGAGCCAACACCGCGCAACCTACGCAGGCAGGCCATTCTGAGTCCACTGTGCCATTACCCATAGTTGCAACATTATAACCGTTGCGAAGAATCTGATTTCTCTCACTGTCGCTGTATTCAAGGTCGAAAGTCGTGAAATTAGAGTCATATGAATATGGTGCGTTGGGAAGGTAGACAATTAGTGGCCCTGACGAGTTACTAGAGTCCGTGTCACAACCAAAAAAGGTCGGCTGCTTATTGAGACCGAGATTAACGAAAGTGTTTTGGTCCGGGACCTTTGGAAACTCGTTGTTTTGAGTTGAAACGCCTGCTTTAGATCTCTCATATGTGGCTACAAGAGATGTGCCGTTCGGCCAATGTGTCTTGGTATCAGCCGAGCCGTCGATAGCGAAGATGACATCGACTTGTCGTTCAGATACGAGCAATGGATGGAAGGGAACATTCTGTAAGTCCTCACCGCCGTCGACAAGGGTAAGGATGGTGCTGTCCGCGTTTGAGTTGTTCTTAGGGCTATACTTGTAGAACGGGTTTGGCCAGTTAGCAATATCCCTGTTCTCGTCGCCAATATCCGCCAGAGTATTATTTATAGCCTTAAGCAGGAACTCTGGAACATTGTCGGCCTTTTGAATCTGCAGGAATGCCTGGTTAAAAAGCGACGCTGAGGTGCCCATAACGAAACCAGCGTTGTCGACCCCAGCGACACAGTCTCCATTGCGTCCGATTGTACCGTTTTGGAAGGCAGAGCCCACATACTTCAGAGGTGCAAATGCGGCAAGCTCTGGGTCAAAAGATCCCATTTCCCACGGATTGAACTCTATGATAGTGGAATTGCTTGCTATTTGAAGCTGTCCCGTTGTTCTTTCTATTGCAACTATAAGAGGCATAGGCGCCCTCGCAGCCGCGAACTCGGTATCGTTTGCAATCGACGAGAAGGTATATGCTAAGTGATGGTTAGCTCCCTATTCAGACTATGGTCAAAAACTAATACCTGGACCTCCATCGCTCGCATTGACAAGTTGATAAGATAAGGACCTTCCCCAATAGTCGGTTATGGACTTGTTGTAACCTGCCTCCACTTTACCTTGGACATCTTGGTACAGCTCGCGGTAGTATCGCGTTACAGATAGATCATTTGGGCCTGGATTTACCAAAGTAAGCAAGAGCCCTTAATAGGTAACTATGCTGCAACAAACCTTCGATGATTGAATCATCAAGTTGCCAAAGGGAACCTAGGAAAGCATTGGAACCATAAATGATAGATTCCACTGTCGTGAAGTTCTGTACATACAGACTTCCAACAACCCAGCTGCCTCCAGAGAGACCGCTGAGGTAGGTTGTAGCTTGGAGAATACCGCC